CAGTTTATAGGCTCTTCAGATGGCAAAAGTAGGAAGCCAGAAGAAGCCGGCCGCACGGCAGGCCAGATACTTGCCTGTGAGCTTGTCGAGCTTAAGTCTGTTTTTTGAAGTTTTGGCTGTGCCTCGACAGGCCCCGGTCTCGAAGAAGCCAGCTGCCAAGCTCGCAGACAAGGAGGCCGTCGTCAAGGTCAAGGTCGTCAAGAAAAGACCTGCGACTTCCACGACCTCCAGTGGCCAAGCTCCCAAGAGCCAAACCGCCACCTTGGAGACTCCTGCAGAGACGACAGCCAAGAGGCCAGCCGCCACCTTGGAGACTTCTGCAAAGGCGACAGTCAAGAGGCCAGCCGCCACCTTGGAGACTTCGGCAGAGACGACAGTCAAGAGGCCAGACGCCACCTTGGAGACTCCGGCAGAGACGACAGCCAAGAGGCCTGCAGCCGCCACCTGCTTTGCTCTCGAGGCGGGATTCTTTCAGTGCGATATATAGATTTTGTATATATATATATATATATATATATAGATAGATAGATGTGAACCCCTATACCCTCATAACCAGCTTTTAAACCCTTACGCCGAAACAGATCTGCAGGAAGAAGACAACTCGGATGGAGGTCTGGAAGCCGTTTGGGAAGCTTGCCAAGCTGCCGAGACCATGGCCAAGGGGCCAAACCAGAGCCCGGACAACGTGAGCCTGAGCCAGGAAACGATGGTCTTGGGCATGTATGACCCTCCGATCACTCAGAGTGACTTTGAGCAGGCCATGAAGGAGTGGCCAGAGGAGCCTGACTTTTACCACGACCCCTCACAGGAAGCTGAAGCGGAAGCTCCGCCGGGTCACCTTCTCGTTTGGGATTTTTTGTCCCCGATTCAAAAAATGATCATCAAGCAAAACCCGAGAGTCAGGGACGGCTTGCAGCCATGCGGGCTGCCAGTGTCCAATACCAAGTCCAAGCCCAAGTAGCCCGGAGCTTTTTTTTTGAAAGGTAAGCTCCAAGCCTCCACGGCCAAGTTTTGAGGAAGAGCTCAAGAGAATCTTCACCCAAGATTCCCTGCCGCAGCTGTGGAAAAGAAGTGTTAGGCTGGAATGCCTGAGTCCAATTCCACGTCCAAGTCCAAGTAGCCAGGAACCGTTTTTGAAAGTTAGGCTCCGAGGCCTTTACAAGGCCAAGTTTCGAAGGAGAGCTCAAAAGAAGCTTCACCCAAGATTCCCTGCCGCTGCTGTGAAAAAGAAGTGTTAGGCTGGAAGCCTTCTGGGAAAGGGTGGGGAAGAGAAAGTGAGAGATAGAGAAAGAGAAAAAAGAAAGAGATAGATATATAGAAATAAAAATACAGGTAGAGATGGAGAGATAGAGAGACAGGGAGATATAAGAGATAGAGAGATAGAGCGACCGAGCGGTAGAGCGGTAGATCGAGCGATAGAGCGGTAGAGCGATAGAGAGATATACAGCGATAGAGAGATAAAGAAGTAAAGATGTAAAGGTAGAGATATACAGGCAGAGATACGGATAAAGGTACAGGTTGAGGTCGAGGTAGAGGTATTATATATAGTGGTGGAGGCAGAGATAGCGCTGAAATCTATTGATGTCAGAAGTGTTTCTCGTTTGATTTGAGATAACATTTCTATTGATTTTATGGAAAATTTCTATTGATTTTATGGAAAATTTCTATTGATTTTATGGAAAATTTCTATTGATTTTATGGAGATTTTCTATTGATTTTGATGTGGAGGTTTCTATTGATTTTTATGTCGCAGTTCTATTGATTTTGAGGATTTAAATTTCTATTGAAAAAGATCGTTTTCTATTGAATTTGATCGACACAATCAAAACGCTGAGAATTTTCAATCCCGCTTGATTTTTTTCAATCGGCGGTCCTCTGGGGGTCATCTGCCAGGGCAGACAGCAGAGCATCGAGAGTCAGGTCGTTCCAGTAAAGTTCTGATGGGATCACGGTGAACAGGAGTCTCGTCGTCAGGGAGTTCCTAGTATTGGCGGCTCTTGCACTATAGGGCTCAAAAATGTTTGTGGGGTTCTAGGTTGAGGATTTTGGGGTTAGGGTTTCAGTTAGCTTGGAACTCGGATAAGCAGCCCACTTGCATTAATGTGCTCCATGCCCTGCCATCCGACCAGTGGTTGTATGGATAAGCACATTATGGGACGCTTGCAGCTGCCTCGTCCTTCATCCCCATGAATGAGAATTGGAATGGATCGTCGTGCAACCTGATCATAGTCTGGCCGATGGAAGAAGGGACAATCTGGTCTGAGGTCTTTGTATCTTTTCCAAAAGCCAGCAAGCATCTCCTCAAAACGAGGCCCTGAATCAAGACAATGTCCTCCGAGGAAAGCTTCCCCTCCAATAGAGAGTGAATATTCTAGCCAGGATGATGGCAACACAGATGCAAACTCCATATCGACTTTCCTGACACGGCACTTCATGACCTTGCGGATTGGTGCCACTATAGCATCCACTTTCACTGGAAGACATCGTCCTTCTTTGTGAATAAGCGCGTGCAGATTCCGAGAGGCGTTGATCCCCCCACAGGCAGCCAGTCGATTCAGAGTTTTGTCTGGTGCTCCTTAAGGAGGATGCTAATAACCATATATGAAAGCTGCTAGGATTTTGGGTTTGGGGTTTGGGGTTCTAGGAAGGCAAACAAAATTTAGCATAATCGTTGAAACCTAGGTATACGATTCCCCTATGTAAATTAAGCCTGGGGACCAGCTTTCCGTAGCTTTCTCGAAGCAACTTGGGCTAGATGAACAACACGTCGAGCACTCTCTGCCTGAAGTTCTATCTACACTCGAGCTGTCGCATCTAGATTCCAGAAAACCCTACGGCAAACAAAGAGTACTTATCAACAATTGCCATGCAGTACAAGCCACCCCTACTTCGAAACCCGCGAACAGCTCACCAGCCAGGTCATCATCTGTATCCTCCTCCTCCCATCGAAGTTGGGGAATATAGGCTTAAAATTAGGGTTTCGGGTTTAGGGTTTAGAGCAAGTTCCACGTTTGAATTTTGCTATTGTCACGTAGCACGGTTTGAGGTTATAGTATTTTGGCTTTGGGGTTTATAGGATTTGTCGATGTTAATTGTTAACTAATTAAATAATGGGCTAGGGTACAGATGGAGGTTCGAGGAGTTTGTGCCCTGGAATACATAGTATAACAGAGGCTGGAACAATTAATAGCTATATAAGCCCCACCATTGCAACAACCCGGGTATCGTTACGGTGTCCATCGGCAATCCATCATATGGCCAGCCTGACACGTGTCCAGCATTTGCCAGCCAACCTGCGTGCGAGCATCGGATCGTTATTGTTGACATGATAAAAGCACAGTGCAATGGGTTCTAACATCGATCATATGCTTCACAGGACTTTTCAGCGGTCACACAGCTTTTGATACCCCAGCAGCGACCTTGGACCTAGCAGGCACAGCACATATTGTAGGCACCGTGCCCTAGGATCAGTATTCGAAGAGTGCGACAACAGCCGACACAGGGCACCAACCGAAGCTATGTGCAAAGCTGCAGAGCTAGTGAGTTGCGAACATGCATGCATTGTATTAGCATGATGCCCCGTAGCTGCTGCAAGAAACTTCACAAAGCGCACTTCCCAAGCATACTAGTCAGTCTTGGATTTCTTGCTCTTGGAGCCACTCTTCGACTCGTCCTTACGTTTGCTCTTGCCTGAGCCCTTAGGCTTCTCCTTATTCTTGTCCTTTTTGTCCTTCTTGTCCTTTTTGTCCTTGGCCTTCTTGCCAGAGCTGCCAGCGGAGGGCTTCAACGACCTCGCAATCTGCCAATAGCATATTGACACACACACACACATGCAAGCAGGCCAAGGTCATACCATGCATGGTTTAGGTGTGTTGCTTCGCACGGATCACGTAGTTGTTGAGAATGAGGTCTTGCTTGGTCGTTTCCGCGAAGAGCTTGAGTAAGGAATCATTGAATGGCCTGGAAACATACACATATGCACCACAGCACCCATCTAGACTATGCAGCATGCCAACACATCTCAGAATCTAAGTCTTTGACTTGTCGATCGTCGAAGTCAAAGACTCTGACTGCTTGGCCGTCAGCTTTTGAAACAGTTCCGTCATGGCGTCAAGGCACCCCTGGATCTGGTCTCGCAGCCTCCGAGCCAGCTAGGTCACTGCATATGATATCATCACACATATGCACCGGTGCAGCCAAGTCACAACTGCGCCCTAGCACCGCTGACTTTCTCGATTCGCTCCTAAGGCAAAAACATGCACCAGCATCCCTCTTGCTAATATAGTTTACGGCTAGTCACACATGGACAATGCAACCCGAGATTCGAGGACATCATTGCAGCTGTCAATCTTGCGCCCAAGAACTTCTAAGAAGCCAGGGAGGATGGTGAGGGGGCTCGCTGTCTGCTGCAAGGATGGGAAGGTGAGCCTTGGTGGGTGTGAGGTCCATAATACACACACACATAAGATCGATGCTTAGGTGTTATTGTAGCACAGCTAGGGATATCTCCCGCATATTAAGCCCCGATGCTTGAACGAAGCCGAAGATGAAAATGACTCCATCTGCTCTGCTGCCGCCGCAGAGGAAGCTGCAGCTGTGGAGCCACTTCCACTTGTGATGGCCGAGGCATTGGCATCAATGTCGGGCACATCTGTGTTGAACAAAGTTCCATTGTCATCCTGCATGTAGATTGTTAACAGTGTATACGACTACAGGTAGTTTTCGTGGTTTTAGGAGTAAGCTAGGAATGTGAGTTACTAGATCGACATGTAGTACGTAAATAAGCTTATAGGGGTAGGGTAAGTGTTATCGGGTACCGTTTCCGGGCTCAGATAAATTGGGTTTAGGGCTTAAGTCTAGCTTGTGGTTGAGAGGTGGTCCTAATGAACTGACGAATACGAATGGTCTCCTGCATCTCAATGGCCCCGTGCATCGAGGTCTCATGGGATGTAACGTCATTGGCTTCGAAAGAGTCCGTAAGGACAAGTCTCGCTTCCTCTTCACCATGAACACAACTTCGTCGTAAGTTCTTGGTGTTTGCCGCCCATGTCCAGGCAGCCTGCACCATCTTCCTCATTACACAATTTAACATTAAAGCTCATGGTCGCATATATAGATAGGGCTTTGAAAATGAAGTGCCGATCCATATGCTGAGTTCTGGGCGGGGTCCAGTGCTCCACTGTGGTCAAGTAATGCTTTGTCACCCATCTGCCACCTTTGGACTTAGCATAGGAGGCCACGTTGATCTTCCGGACTTGCATCTCAAGCGCTTTGAAACTGCCATGAACCTTCAAGAGATCCTTCAGCTTCTGTCCTAGGCCCAAATTCAACAGAATAGTGCTTTGCATGCAGAATGAACATCCCTCTCGATCTTACTTGCAAGCACAGGCGCTGCCCTCCGAAGACTTATACAAGGCCAGGGCAGCCTCCGAGCACTTCAGGGCCCCGGTAGATCGTGGTTCAAAGTATCTTCTCATCCTCGGCTGCTTAGGTTTTAGGTTTAGGGTTTAGGGTTTAGGGTCCGCGGTTTATTCCTAGCACCAAACCGGAATAGGTTGGGTTTCGGGTTGTATCGAATTTTGAGGGCTCAGAGGATTACAAGCTTAGGGGTGTAGAGCCAAATGCATGATCTAATTGGGGCTCGTTATAAAATACTTCTAGACACCCCGCAGTGTGTCTTGTACAAGGATGAACTAACTTGTGCGGTGGCTTGGATTTACATACCGGCTTTAAGCCTTTGTCTACAGGATGACATTTATAGGGTTCATGATCACTTGGGTCTACATACATGAATTTATCCTAAGGGTGAATTTTGGGAATTTGGGTTAACTGTCAGGTCTACACACTTGAGAAGATCGATTTGGTGCTTTTCGGACCAATTGGTAAATTCTTACATCAACAAGCCTGTGTGGTTACTACAGGGCATTGGATGATATTTACCTAGCTAGCCTGGAACTCTTTGCGTATATCTAACTAGCTCTATAGCTATGGGTGAAGTTTGGGGGCTTGGTTTGTTGGGTCTATATATAAGTCCTTACAGATTTAGATCATGGATCTATATTTTCCAAATCAAATTGCAGCCACACGGCCGCCAGTAAGACGGCGACTTGGATCGCTTGGAACCCAGGGAATTGCACGAGGAAGGAGCAGGGCTGCTGGTCAGGCCACCACTTGAGGATCTCCGGGAAACAGGGCTTGACTTTGCATTGTTCGGGGACCCATCGGATCTGCGACCGCTGACAAGTGGCCCGGCAGTGGTTGACTTCTTGGGGCTTTTTCCTCGGCTATCCTCTGTGGCTGACTTCTTGGGGCTTTTTCCTCGGCTATCCTCTGTGGCTGACTTCTCGGGGCTTTTTCCTGGGCTATCCTCGGCGGCTGACTTCTCGGGGCTTTTTCCTTGGCTATCCTCGTCCCTGGCTGACTTCTCGGGGCTTTTTCCTTGGCTATCCTCGTCACTGGCTGACTTCTCGGCGCTTTTTCCTGGGTGATCCTTCTCCCGTGGGTAGGGGCACTGTGCGTCCTCCAGAGCACTATCGTAGCCCAAAGACTCGCGACTGTCCCCCAGCTGCAGGGTCTCTTTGCAAGGAGGCACAGCCAGGCTCCCAGGCACAGCCATAAACGAAGTCTGCCTTGCAAGGGCAGGAGCACCTCGGATCTTAACAACATCATTGGGGCACTATGACTTCGGGGTTTTGGCTGTGTGAGTTCATAACTTAAGGCTGCAGGCTTCGATAGCACTGGGTCCTAAGATACAGAGTAACAATATCAATTCGGCGTGGGTTTAAGTTGTTAGGCCTCTGATGGGTTGGTGCTGAAGCAGGTATGTTTAGGGAATCTTTGGGTGCCTCAGATAGCCTCGTTTCCTGATATAGTTTTCCTCGCCCTATCGCTCCCTACCTCTCTCCCTGCACGTGCGTGTGTGTGTGTGTGTGTGTGTGTGTGTGTAGGTGTCTAGCTAGGTAGGAGTGTCTATATATATATATATATATATATGCATATGTACATATACAGTACGTATATGCTATATATAAATTACCACATGTACATATGCATGTGCGTACCGTGTATACTAGACATGTGCATCTCGCACACAGTATGTGGAGCTTAATGCGTATCATATATATATATATAATATATATATATACACATGTACACATAACAATATATATATTTATGCATATATATATATATATATATACATATACATATATATCATGCATATATATATATATATATATATAAAGGAGAGAGGAACAGAGACACTCACAGGCAGTGTCACGAGTTCACAAGCACATGCATACTATATATATATATATATATATGTATTATATATGTATATGTATATGGATATGTATATGTATATGTATGTATGTATGTATATATGTATGTGTGTATGTATGTACACATACACACACACACACACATGGCAGGCTCTAGTGCACAGTATGCATGTTCACAATATGGATTTCTAATATATACACAAAGCACATGAGTACCTTCACAAAACACATTAACATATACAAGGTCTAGATCTATATATACATATCATATATATAGTGAATACACACTGGAAGTTGGAGTTCTTGGTTGATGTGGGTCGACGCAGGATTTAGCTTATCCTTATTAACTTACGGCTTAGAGGTTAAGACTGTCGATAAGAAAGCTCCAGGGCTACAAAGACTGGGGTTCGGGACTTGGATCGTTTAGCCAGATATATTATATAAAGATTTCAAATTAATGGTGAGCTGGGCCACCCGGAGGTCCAGCTTCGGACCGGGCTCGTGCACCACGAGCTGCAAGCTGCGCTTGCAAGGCTTGGATCCTTGCCCGGGAAGCCTTGGATAGGAGAGGGCATTGCTTTTGAGCTTGACTATATAGAGAACATAGAGGCCATATCATGAATTCATATTTAGCAAAAGGGCTTCGATCCTCTGCTGCACATCATGAACTCCCTCTGGTTGGGAAGCCATGGAGTTGTAACCAAGGAGGGGAACAGCTTCGACCAAAGAGTTACAAGACCACAGTCGGGAGGTCATGGAACCCGAACCACAAAACAAACAAGCTCTCGAGCCTGGCCACAAGATTCATAACATGTCGTTGGTTATGCAACAGAAATTGCAGTGGCTCACGGGACTTCGTGCTGGTCCAAATGCATTGAAGTAGCTCTTTTGCACCCTGGAATGCAGTCTATACGAATTGTCCAGACTGTAATCTGAGAAATCCATCCGATCAGGAAGGTTTCCGGCCGAAGGGATTTAGGGTTTGATACGTTTTTTGGGTTTGCGCCCGGTTGCGGGTATTTGCGCCCGGGTTGCGGGTATTTGCGCCCGAGTTGCGGGTAAAAACGTCCGAACAAATTTGCGAGAACCCTACATAACACCATATAAAGAAATAAGTCCGGATGTTTTCCTTCCTGCACAGATGGCCTCAGAGCAGCCCGAATTTCTACGGCAGGGCACTCAGCAGACTGGGTTCCTACTGCCCTGCACTGCTTGCCTCCAGTTCTCGCAAGTCTGTCCGTAGTTCAGAAGAACCACAGGCCTGGATAAGCCACAACACCCAGCGGTATGCAGCTTTGAGCCTTTGAGCCTTTGAGCCTTTGACCCAACTTAGCATTTAGGGTTAGGGCTTATGTAGGGGTTCGGGGCCTTAAGGCAGGAGGCTTTTGGGTGTTGGGCCAACTGACGGTTTAAGGGCATTAGGGCTTGGTGTCGGCGGGTTCCCGGGCTTTCGGGTTTGTCTACTGGGACTTTGGGGTTCTGGACCTTGGGGCCTGCAGCTTCGAGACTTGGGTGCTTGTTCTCCAATCTAGCAACTATATGATATATATTACTCGACCCCAAGCCTAAAGCCCCGAATCCCCGAACCCATCGCCCCCAAGACCCAACAGCCACTGCTGGCTGGGTTTGACAGACCCGAATGGGCACAGGTGGAGCCAGACCATCCGGACGTTGCGAGATTTATGGAGGCCTGTATGTTGGGGTTTAGGGCCCCCCACCTTTAGGGATTTAGGGGCTCTGAGAATCGGATCAGCTAGAGGATCGAAGTCGGGGCACGTGCCAGTGGGGTTGGGGTCCGTTAGGGTAATACTGCGGGCTGATTATATTTCGGGTCTGCTGGTGCCGGCTCAGAGCTCGCTGGCTGGGACTTCAGGCCCATTATTGGTATATGCTATTTTGGGAGAGGACCTAGGTTTAATTTGGTTTGGAGTTTTGGGTGCTTCTGCTCAGGGAACCCTGAGGAAAGGAGCTAGCAACGGTGTCAGATCGATAGTTATTCGTAAGAAAAGCATTATAGATTATAGAATCGTATATATTATAAGATATATATACATATATATATATATAGCTAGTGTAAATAGCAAAAGCAGCAGTATAATAGAACTGGTGGCAGCAGCAGCAGCAGTAACTAACAAATGCCAGATTGTGTCGATATAGATATGTTATATATATATATATATATATATAGAGCTACTACTACTACTACTGCTGCTACTGCTACTGCTACTAGCTAGCTAGCTAGTAAAAACGGCAGTAGCAGTAGCTAGTAATATAGCAGGAGCAGAAGCAATAGTGGCAGGGGCGGCAGCAGCAGCAGCAGCCGGAAATGTGTACTGCCATGATACCATGCATATACGGCCACTTCCCATATAATATATATATATATATATATATATGTATATATATATAATATAGGAAGTGGCTGTGTATGCATGGTATCATGGCAGTACAGTATAACGTGGTGATGGTGGTGATGGTGGTGGTGGTGGTGATGGTGGTGGTGGTAGTGGGGATGATTTGTGGTTGGTAGTAAGGTAGAGGTGGCGATGATAGTATATATAGCAGCAGTAGCAAAGGAAGCGAGCCCACTCAAGAAGCCCAAATCCCCACATAAACCCTGTGAGCCCAAAGCCTCCTGAAACTATAGTAGAAGCCAGAAAGTTGGAACATGGCTTTAGGAGGATTAGTGCTAGGATCCCCTATACTTAAGCTTAAGGCCATGAGAAGAATGATGTTCCAACTTTCTGGCTTCTACTGTAGAAGCCCAAACCCACGCCCAAGATTTTATCCCCAGCCCAGGCACCAAAGCACAAAGCCCACTGAACTCCCAAGCACTATGCGACTGCGAACCCAAAGCTTCCAGGGCCCCCTAGTTTCTAATACCATACCCAAAAAACCTCATGCCCTGCGAACCCAGATCCCTAAGCAAACCTCAAAAAGTCTCAAGCCACCAAACCCAAAACCCTAAGTTAGCCTTATATAAGCTCCAGACTCCAAACCCCCAATCCCTCCAATAACATTATTATGCTGTGGTCTTGCCAGCCACATGCAGCCAATGCTGCCTGGAGCAGCACCTCGTTCTTGAATGACTGCATCTCATCGATCCAGGAATCCGGGATCCTGGATCACTGCTGTCTTTTGTAGACTTACACAGTCTTGCAAACCCAATATCGTGCCCCTTTGCATTCAAGCGTCTCGACATTTTTGCAATGGTAGAGGTAGAGGAACACTTCATGAATCCGGCTATCGATCCACAAGTCCCCTAGAGGAAGGCTACCGAAGATCTCTCTGTCTGTGCAGCCCAAATTGACATCTGCTCGGCCCCTGCATTCGGCCCGCTGGCAAAGTGGCAGTTGTCTCCAGCTTTCATACACCTCGATCAGGGCCTTCCCGAAGCGGGCTGTGTAGGCCCTCAGCATCAAGCCAAGACATTGCAAGTCGCTGCTATAGTTAACAGCTACTTGCTTCTGCGCATGCATTGGTGGCCAGGTGGCCCAGACTTCTTGAGGCCATCTTTCTTCCCGGTGAAGCAGGACCGGCCGTTCTTGTCGATGTGCCTACCTTGGCTATATAACCCTGTTGGTAATCATTACTGTGCATGCTAGTTAGTGGACTCATAGATGGCATGCAAGCTACATATAGACAAGACACGGACTGTAGCAATTTTCGTCTTGGCAAGTCGTTCAGCTTTGGTCAATTTGCCCTTGTCGAGGATCGATATTGTAGACATAGGAGACATAATCACAGTTCGCTTTGGGGTAGGGCCATCGAAATGCATCATCCAATGGGCTTGCTGGTATACCTACAGGGTCATGGATGTATGATATGGATCTATTCAGCCTGCGTTACATTAGTACATGGCCTTGCAAACACGGTTCACCAACCAATCCCATCGGTGGTGCTTGGGCAGCAGGGATTGAAAAGGTTGCTCAACAATCCAGGTTGTGTGGCGGCTCAGCATCAACAAGATTAGCAGGACAAGCCTCAGCTAGCTGAATGCAGACACACAAGCATATCTCTGCCAGACTGTGCATGCATGATCATGTACTATGTATTGGCTGGTAACCGGGATACCAGGCAGTTATTGGCATCCACCCATGACAAACCACATCGACCCATGGGGTTCACAGCACTTCTCATACTTGTAGAACGTGCTGGCAGGCCCCAGCTGCTGCAGTCGGGGCCTATGACGTTGAGAGCATCCACGACTTCGTTCATAACAGCGTACATAGCAATCCTGGGCTCTTGGGTTTAGGGTTTAGGGTTTAGGCTTTAGGGCTATAGCAGCTGAAGAGGTTTGCAGTTTATGGTGTTGGAGACTTGTAGGGCTTGGGTGAGTTCAGGATTCGGTTTGGGGTTGGATTTTGGGGTGTATGCAGGCTTGGGTTTAGGACTTCTGTTGCTCTGGGATTTAGGGTTTAGGGTTTCGCGTTTAGGGTTTAGGGTTTAGGGTTTCGGGTTTAGGGTTTCGGGTTTCGGGTTTAGGGTTTTTTGGGTTCAGGGTTTAGAGTAGCGTTGGGCTTTCATGTCAATCGTTCCCATCACACAGCCGCAATGCTACGCCCCCAAAACCCAAATCCTGCACTGTAAACTCTGACTCCCAAACCTCAACCTTATAGACTCTAAACTCTGATGCCTACACCTTGATAGTATATACATATACACCTTAAAGCCCAAAGCAACACCCTGCTACTGTATTCCCGGGTTTGGCTCCTGGGTCCGAAGCCATTGAAACCCAAAGATTATAGAATATAAAGAGCACACATCGATCCCCCAAATCCATAATTGCGTGCTATAGGGTTTGCCGGGTTGAGGGTTTAGGGTTCTTAAGTTCTTAACCATCACGATTGCAGGCAAACCTCGTGAACCCTTTGCTGCCGATGAAGTCCATGCCATCTCCATAGAGCTTGTCGAAACTCATTGTGTTGTAGCCGGCTGCCTGCCTAGGATTACATCGGTCGGTATACATTATAATTTTAAGACACACTGCAATAACATGCTTGCATAGTGTAAACCGGAGAATACACATGAGGTTCGAACCACTCCTTGGTGACTGCTGCCTCACCTGAAAAAACCTCGAAGAACTCCACATTGCTTCGGAAAGTGAGGGTGGTCATCCATCGTAGCAACAGCACCTGGGCCGTGGGCAAATGGTTATGTATGTGTGTATGATCATGCATTATATATTGTAGCTTTCACATCAAAGGTGTAAGCAGCAGGCTGTTGCGATGAACACCTAGCAAGTAGCATCCCCATGCAGTGGTATGTAAAACGAAAGTGCATACAACATATCCCACCTTGGGTGCATCCAGTTGCACCAGATTGACAAGCAAAGATTCACTTGAATCCATGCTGGAGGCTCTAGAGCTGTTGAACCAAAACACTCCGAAATTTCAGCCATGTACTTTCAGCAACAACTCGGCCCCCACAATGGCCCAGATTGGAAGTGTGCATTGAAACAGCTCACAGAATCTTTCAAAGGTGCACAGCGGGGAGATGTGGCCTTGCTTGGTGGCACGAACCTGCCAGCCTGCGGGACGAGGCGGCATCCTGGCAAAGGGAGCATTGATGAATTCAATATTACGACAATAGCATGCACAGGTGAAGCTCTGCAGAAGCACCCTTTGGATCGTGATGGCACATCCACTCACACTATGGCACTCCTCGGGCCGGTGTTCTCACCGACTTGCCACAAGCAAGAAACTTGTAAAGCCCCGTTGGCAATAAGATTGCAGGCAACACATGTGGTTGTCACAATCAGTAATTGCTCCCGCCCCGCCCCAAAAACCTTCATAGCGCTGGCTCATGTGCAGGCAAACGTTCAAAACCGACCATCCGGATCGCGAGCTTGATCATCGATATCCAAGCCGCCGTGAGCTTGGTCAATCCGTGGCCTTGTATGCCTTGGCTGTTGGCTAGAAGACACATGGCACAAGCACATGTGCACACATGTTGCCACATAGCATGACTGATATATGCACATACAAGACACAGCCTGTGCTTCCTGCTTACACACTTCAAGTTCTTTGCCTTCGTTCTTAGCCTTAAGCATCGCCTTGTGGTAGGCCACAGATTTCCTGGATCGTTTCGCCTTCTGCTCTGCAACCGCATCAGCAGCCTTGCCCTTGTCGGCAGCCCCCCGCTTTTTCGTGGAAACCTCAACCTTTGCTGCAGGCTTTTTTGTTGTTGCATCATCCATCTTCGCCTTTGCACTGCTCTTTGCACTTGCCTTGGGTTTGGCATCATCCTTCTTTGCTGTCGCCTTTGCTGTCGCCTTTGCTGTCGCCTTTGCTTTCGCCTTTGCTTTTGCCTTTGCTTTTGCCTTAGACTTAGGCTTTGGTGATCGTGGGGCTCGCTTGCTCTTGGTTTTGGGTCTGGGCTCCTCATCATTCTCATCTCCTTCCTCCTCCATTGCCTCCGACATCTCAGCATCACTTTCATCAGGTTCTGTGGGAGTAATCGGGGCCTCCTCCTTCTCCTCATCCTCCACGGTGGGCTTGCGGCCCCGCCCTTTGCCCTTTCCCCCACGACCCGTTGAGGTCTTCGTAGCACCACGGCCCCGACCTCGGCCGCGACCTCGGCCCTTGGGCTTTGATGCATCGGCCAGCGCTTCAGCGAGAGGGGTATCTTCAGTCCCTTCCTCACATACCTTCTTGGCCTTCCTTTTCTTCGGCTTGGGAACAGCTGCTGCTTGCTCACTTGGCGACAGGGGTTTGAAGGTCTGCTTGTCGGGACATTCAGGTAGCTGATCTTCCAATGCCTCAGCTTTCTAGCTGTTTAGGGATTAGGGTTTAGGGTTTTAAGGGTATACTCTAGTTATATATAGGTCTAAATTAATTCTTGACAGACCACATGATTGCAGAATTCAGCTAGAGCACATCCTTGGCAACAGCACCATCAGAACCTTCATCATCTGTGTAGTGCACAGTCCCAAGGCTAAGACTGACACCATCGTCAGACTTTGCAGCTTCATCATCAACAGCAGCAACTGACATCATGGGCTCGCGCTCTTTCTCTTGACCCTCTGGAGTCTCTAGAGGTTGTTCCCCAGGACACAGCAGAACCGATCCTGTGCCAAGGTCCTCCTCGGTGGACTTGATCAGGCTGTCAATGGCATCAAGGCCACCCAAGTTGATGTCCATCGGCAGAGTGTCCACATTATCCAAGCCTGGGCTCAGTTATGGCAGTTTTGAGTAGGGCTTGGTTTGGAGGATATGAACCAACATGCGTGCAAGCATGCAATGTGTAATATACCGGCCTAGACACACATGAAGCCACTAACATCGGCAGCCCGCTGGGGCTGCTTGTGCTCAGCCTCATGTGTGATGCATGGCCTCTTGGCCTCCGCTTTGGGGTCCTCGGAAAGCTCCAGCTGCTGCTCTAGAGATCGCTTTGTGCTCATGGCTGGTAGTTTCTTAAGTTCGCTGCTGCTGCTGCTACCACCAGACCCAGGGGGTGGCAAAACTTCGCCCACACACTCCATCCTAGTTTCCAATGACTCCATCTTAGCTTGCAAAAGCTCAGCCTCCTCTTGGGCCAAAAGCCTTTGCAGCTCCCCCTCCTCAGCCTGGAGAACCAACTCCTCCAAGCTCAATTGCTCTGCAAGCAACTCAGCCTCCAGGTCAACCAGCTCGTTTTCTTCGGCCTGCAAGGCCTGGGCAAGCCTGAGACTTGCGGCCTGACTGGTAGCATCATTGGCAGACTTAGCCTGTTCAGCATCTAAAGCATTGCAGGGGAAGCACTGCAAGGCTTCAAACCCACCAACATCACCACAGTTGAGGCATCTGAAAGACTTACCCTTGTCATCGTCTTTCACCACATAGTGCTCTCGACGATGCTTCGCCTGGCTTTTTGGGGATACAGGCCAGCCTAGGCAGTTCAGAAAGCAGCAACATATGCAGTCGATCATCTAGTGCATGGCATTATGCATGCAAGCAGCATTGGGATCTATGCAGCCGAGAGACCCTTGGGAGGTGGAGTCACGACCACAGAAGATTCCGAAGGGGTGGTAGTCGTAGTTCGGCCTGGGATCAGCATGTACATTATGGAGTACAGGGTCTTTATCTTTAGCTTGAAATGAACCGATCTAGTGCAGGCAAAGCTCTGGGGATGATCAGTTTCAGGCCCTTGTCCTTCGTACCAGTGCCTCCAGGAACCTTGGTTTGGGATGATCTGTTTTAGCTTCGGGGTCTTAAGGCCGGAAAACATGCATGCACATTAAGCTAGCAAACAGGGGTGTTTAAGGCAAGGGGCAGCAGTTGGCGGCATTGTCATGCATTCTCCTGCGACCCCCAGTGCCTTTGCAACCTCCGGCTTGGGTCTAGGATTCTCTAGTGCCTTTGCAACCTCATGGGTTTTGTGATTCTCCGGCGCCTTTGCAACCTTCGGCTTGGCTGCGTGATTCTCCTCTGGTGCCTTTGCGATCTCATGGGCTGCGTGATTCTCCGGTGCCTTTGCAACCTCAGGCTTGGCTGCGTGATTCTCCGGTGCCTTTGCAACCTTAGCCTTGGCTGCGTGATTCTCCTCCGGTGCCTTTGCAACCTTATGCTCGGCTGTGTGATTCTCCGGTGCCTTTGCAACAGGCTCGGCTGCGTGATTCTCCGGTGCCTTTGCAACCTTAGGTTCGGCTGCGTGATTCTCCGGTGCTTTTGCAACCGGCTTGGCTGCGTGATGCTCCTCCGGTGTCTCTGCAACCTTCGACTCGGCTACACGGTTCAACCATGCCTTTGCCACCTCAAACTTGGCTGCACGACAACGCTTTGCAGGCTTGGGAGACACTGTAATTTCCGGGGCGGATTCAGGTGAGGGATTCACTGGAGGCTCCGATACATCAGCCACATCCAACTCTTCATCATCATCAACCTCACTCTCGGATTCCCCGGACCCCTCTCCCTCGGAGGCAGAATCATCGTCGTCGCTGGACGCACTTCTACTGCCGGCGGCACCTGCAGATGTAAATTATATAGGGCTTCTAGGGGTTGTTAGTGTCTAGGTTTTGGGCTGCAGGGTGATCAGGTTAGCTAGGCTTTAGGGGTTTAGGGTTTCGGACATTTAGCGCTACAGTCAAGTATATCCCAGGCACTTTGCGGGATTGGCACTCCTGATCGCCGGAAGAGGTCACGTAGATTCGGATCTCTTGGGGCATGCGGCCGTTTCGCTGTTCTAGCGAAAAGGGTGACGAGGTTTCGTAGCACCCATCCCTCCGTCCTCAAATCACCACCTCGAGCACATATGACATTCACCTATAACACCGAAAACAAACAGACATGTGCATCCAAACTAGGACCAGTACCACTTGGCATCCTCAAAGATGCCGGTCTGTAGCCCAAGTAGAATCGCGTGACATATTCAGTCAGCAAGTTCACCGATGGACGAAGGCCTAAGTTGAGGCATATCATGATGTCAGCTAGATATTGCTCAAGACCAGAACACATGACTGCATGAACCATTTCAAGCCAGGGTTCCGAGGTGGTTTATCACAGGAGCTAAGACTTCCATGTTGTCAACCAGCGTGGCACGGTTCAACTTGTCATGCTGGAGAATCAAGATTCGTCTCGCCTTAGCAACCTGCCCCATAACTGTAGGGCTCTTTGACCATGCCCTCAGAATAGGGCATGGCTCGGGAACAGGGGCAGCTCCATCCTCCATGGCCATCCCACAGGAAGCGAAAGCTTAAGCTTATATTGTGTAGTACTGAGTACTAGGCCACCTAGCCTCCGCAGATTGGCAATCATGCCAGGACTTTCAAAAGCACTGAGCCAGCTGCTAGTAATAGGAAGGCCCACATTTGCAACATGCCGTGAACTTCGAAAGAATTGACCCTTCAAGCGAGCTTGGTGTGCCTTTGGTCCAATCGGCATCTGCATCAGCTCATCTCGAAGTGTACCTGTCCCCAGCCAAGGTACACTTCGACTATGGGGCCTGGATGCACAATACATACACACAGGGGCGCACCCAGGGGCCATGTTGGGCCGGAAATAGCGTTTCAGTTCGATGCTTAAAGAGGGCTAGCCGGATGCAGAAACACGAATCAGGCCGAATACGGATAAAAACATCCGAAGCCAAATTTGCATTACAAATGCCCAAATAGTATGACAAACCCAGGTCGGACACAAATTTACATAGCAAAGGAATCCCCAGGAAATAGTAGTGTGGGCAATTATTCAGGCTCTTATATGAACTATATTCCTACTTGGGCCCTTTGGGGGCCATGGGATCCCCTTGACACCTCGGGGAAGAGCTACCCCAAAGACTGCCAATGAATATTTAAGGTTTATCAGGTTCAGGGTTTAGGGGTTTAGGGTTTAGGGAATGAAGAAATATGCCTTAAATCATAATGGAGGTCCTGCTATATGTGAAGGAATCCGGTGGAATAATCCGTAATTTGTGGATGTTGCGAGCCTCTAGGCAAAGATCTAGAATCTAGTTATGACGGGCCCTTCACTTTCAAGGAATAGACCATCGAGTTTGGGGGAACTTGACTCGGGTTTGACTAGAATAAGGAACCCTATAGAATAATGTTGATCGTGATTGAGGCGTCTCTGTTATAACATACGTTTACATTTGCTTCGACTGTCTCAGACCAAGGGTTCAGCGATGTGCTAGGCAGTTCATGCCACAAGACATTGCAGTCTTAGGCTGCCGAATCTAGGATACCCAGTAAAATAAAAATAAAAAGGCCTCTCTTTTTGGTATTGTGTAACTTTATAAGGAACCTAGGACTACAACAAGGGAATAAGGGTACTACTGGGCATCCTAGGAATTTACGCCGAACTCACAAGCCTACACCCTTGCTAAAGGCGTCCACGGCACCACACTCTGCAGGCCTACTCATGGCCTAACCCTGAAGCATTGGAGCCTGGCTCACATTTCTCTCAGCTTGCGTTCGGGGCGGTTCGATGTTGAAACAAGAGCCGGTCTGGATAGACGCAGAAGCAATAGCAGTCAACAGCAGCAGCATAGTGGCAGCGGTAGCGGTGGCGGTCGCAGTCGCGGTAGCGGCAGTGGTAGTGTAGCAGTAGTAGTCGTCGTCGTCGTAGTGGTGCAGGAGCAGCAGCAGCAGCATCAGTAGCAAGACCAGTGGCATAAGCATGAGCAGTACCAGCTACAATAACATGCGGGCAATAGCAGCAGTGGCGTTAGTCGCAATAGCAGCAGGAGTAGTAGTAGTAGTAGTAGTAGTAGTAGTAGTAGTAGTAGTAGTAGTAGTAGTAGTAGTAGCAGTAGCAGTAGCAGTAGCAGTAGCAGTAGCAGTAGTAGTAGTAGTTGTTGTTGTTGTTGCTGTTGTATTTGTAGTAGTTGTCGTCGTCGTCGCCGCAGTCGCAACAGTAGTTGTTGTTGGTTTTGCTGCTCCTGCTTGCTGATAATGTTACCGTTCCTGGGAACAAACGTTCAGGATTGCCAGGCCGAGAAACCGCCTTTCACGTTGCCAGGGCCTTAGCCGGTCGGAAATGAGACTCCATGATTCAAACCAGCTGAGAGGCCAGGCGACTTAGTAAGTAGGGTTGTAAGTAAGGTAACTGTCCTTATATTTACTTATAACCTTATAACCCAAATTAAAACGCATATAACCTTACTCACCCAGACCTTCCAAAATCCCTTAATTGAGGAATATGCCTTGAAGATCTTTGGGTATCGTGAGGATCCCTAAAATGCATTCAGGTATATCCCTTCATTAAGGGATATTGGAAGGTCTGGGAACCCTGAACCCTACACCCTAATCCCTACAGACCCCTTATAGGCACCCTTCGAGTACCCGTTAAAGGAACCCTACGGTTGATCATATAAATCCAGCATTACCTTCATGACCCTAGACTATAGGAATTATTGCACATTACTTATTATGGGTAATGCCGGATTTCTATCATCAATCTGTAGGAACTTTTTAGAGGATACTTAGTCCCATGATCCTCCAAGCACGGAGTGGCTCAAAGCTGCAAGGGTTCGGTCAGGGAATAAAACATCCATATAGGGGCCTTAATAACTAAATGGTTTCCTTTTTAAAGGGATCCTTTAAGGGTTGCCCACCCAGACTTTCCCAAATCCCTTAATAAAGACATATCTAGTTCATGGTCGGGATAGGATTAAAATTTAGGCTTTTATTCCTTATTGGGTTTAAGTACCCATAAAATGTAAAATGTTGCCCAACTATAACAAAGTATGGATGCCGAAGCTGGGACGAACTTTCCGAAACGAGGGTTTCAGCACTCACTCTCGGACAAACCTTGGGGAGGACTCCAGTCCGAAATCTGGGTGTAGGGCTTACATAGTAACTATAACTATTACCTATTCCTCCATTCCCTACCCTTTTTACACCTGGACTACGCATATGCCAAAACCCTAAACCCTAAACCTTCCCTACTAACCAAAGGTAAGATAGTGCCCCAATGGTAGGGGTTTAGGGACTTCCTCTTCAAGGACGAAATGCTCCTGAAGTGTATGGGGCTCTACACCCCCGGACCTTCCAACATCCCTTAGTTCGGCAATATACGTTGAATTTTAGCAGGATCCCTAATATGAAGTAAGGTATATTCCTTAATTCTAGAATATACCTTACTAAAGTTTAATCGGATTCCTATTATGAACTCAGGTATATTCCAAAATGAAGGGATTTTGGAAGGTCTGGGCCCATACTTGTAGATCATAGAATGAACTGAGCCCCATGAACTCGTTTGGGGTTCACTTGGTGCTTAAAGCTATGGGAGGAAGCTTCACTTTTGGTGCTAAGAGGGTCTGCACCACTCACAATAAGTTAAGATGACATACGCACTCTGCTGAAAATGGAGGTCTGGAAAATTAGCAACAGTACTTACTCCGATGTTTCATCCGAATCCTGGCCTAACTAAGCCTCACGATATCATAATACAGCCCCGAACCCTATTTTCATTATGAAGGTCCGTATAGGTTGATTGTGGTGCAGCACTTTTTTGTCTTGGCTTCCCTGCCCAGCCACTTTGTCCGAACGGCATGAAGTACATTTTCAGGGGTTTGGCCGAAGTTCACCATCAGCTCCCCAGAGAGCCCAATACCCCTTAATTAAGGAATATGGCTTAAATTACATAGGGCTTCATATTATGATTTAAGCCATATTCCTTAATTAAGGGGTATTGGGCTCTCTGGGTCAGCATGAGCCGTTCGCATTTGAACCAGCTCATTCTGCTGCCACAGCGGCTACTCTTCCCTCACGATGTCTACGACTTGCCCGTTAGGAATAATTGACTCTTCGCTTTGGGAAAGCAAATAAAGCAGCATAGATGACCCGTTTTGCCACTGGACTCAAGTCTAGCCAGTCTACGACCCACAATCATGTTGACCGGGGCCGAAAGGTATAGATGACCCCTTTTACATCAAACCCTAAACCTCAAACCTCAGGCCCAGGAGGCTTGGGGTTTGATTTTCGAGATATTTCGAGGTTCGGGCTTCCCAGCTTGTCGGGTATCATGGGGAACTAAAGGTTAACCTTTTTGGTTACCCTAAGGGTCCATATAGTCATATAGTATATACATTGGCCTTAAAGTACTCCTAATATAGGTACATTGGGCCCAGAGTATATGCTATATGGGTACATGGACCCTTAGGGTTATATAAGGGATTATATAGGGAGCAAAAAAATGCTAAAGGCTACCTACTCTACTACTAAGGCTTTTAGCCCTGACCGGCAGTCGAAACCCACTCCACAGTTGGAGCGTTCACGGGTCTCGATCCAACTCTTGCCAAGGCGGCCTGCGCAGCAACTAAGAAAGCACACGGGCCGTGGAAAGGAAGTCATCGACCGCACTGCAAGGATCGCTCACTTCATCGGAAGGCTCTGGTTCTGTTCGCTCCTCGCACATAGGGCTTTGTCGTCTAGGATAAAGTTTAGGATTTTTTTAAGGACCCTTTTCCGTCTGCAGTTTGTGCCTCGGAGTTTGTGGGGTAAACGGTAGAAGTCCAGAGTCTGCGGTTTACGGGACTGGGATTTAAGCATGTCTGCGAGCATCGCGACTCTTGCCCCTTTGGCGAAGGGCCGCTGGGGCAACACACCAGTCCTTAGAATTGGCAATCGGCAAACCCCAGACCTTCCAAAATCCCTCTAATATGATTCGAGGTGTAGTCCTTAATTAAGGGATACTGGGTTTTCTGGCAAAGCCCTGAACCTGCTTGGAGGACCACGAAGCCGAATCCTTTTGTGATCCTTTTTGGCTCCCGCATGGCAGTCCCGAGGGTCCTCATGGCAGGTTGTCTGTGACTAAATGAAAACTTAGATCAGCAGAACAGCAGATGCCTTTGCACTAAGATTTGCCTAATATAACGAGGCCCAAGGCCTCTTTTCTCGGGACTAGAATACGAGCACTATGAATGTTCTCCGTAACTAAATAAACAACCCTGTGGGGAGGGGAACGAGTAGGGATGAAAGCATCAGCTCAGCCGTAAATCGTGAAGTACGTCGTAAACCATATATCTGGGTAGTTGTCAAAATAGGGGTCCCTTTTGGGTACCCTAAATAATAGGTGCCGTACTATATTAGGGACCCGAAAAGGGACCATAATTTTGCCAACCACTCATCTCAAACTCTGAACCCTGAAGCTCTACTTGAAGGATCATGGGACTTAGTAAGTGGGATTATAAATAAGGTAGCTATACTTAAAAGTACTTATAACCCCAATTAAGGCACTTATGACCCTACTTACTAAGCCCCATGATCCTCCAAGTAATCCCCCTATGCCAATAGCCGGGTCCTCGGCGTGCTCCAGCGCACACGGGTCCTCACGCCTGGGCGTGAGGGTGTAAAAGTTTCATAGTCCTTGCATGATTCGAAGTTGTAGGACCCCGCCCTACCAACTACACAACTACACCTGCTCTAAACATCTGAAACGCACATCCATTTTACTCGGTATTTAGGGTTCTTTCGTAATGTGCTACCAGTTCTTGTTGCCTCATAATCTACTTGTCGACTCTGCAAACTCGAGCTTTGGATTTCGGAAGGTTCGGGGTGGTGGAAATAGTCATATGTGAATTGGAGGATCACGAGGCTTAGGCTTAGTAAGGATATCTGTACCCAAACTGGGCTATTAAGTACTAAGTAACAGTATATAGTGACGTTATCTAAAGCCTTACTTACTAAGACTGGGGTTATAAGTATTGGAAATTAAGTATCTAGTTACAGTATCTATAACCTTACTAACTAAGTCCCATGATCCTGCACTGCAAATAAACGTGTTCTTTTGACAGCTCGCCAGTCTGGGGCGGCAATAGCGCAAAGGGGGGGGGCGGGGGGGGGGGGGGGGGGGGAAGTGGATCCCAGACCTTCCAAAATCCCTTAACTAAGGAACATACCTTAATTCAAAAGAGGGGTCCTCTTATAATTTAAGGTATATTCCTTAATTAAGGGATTTTGGAAGGTCTGGGATCCTGGTTGTCGGAGCTTTTCGAGGTTTAGGGTTTTCGACTCACACACTCGCACAAGGCAGGCATGGCTTCAGGCGCTAAGTCCGCTGAGTTTAGGGCTTTTAGGGTTTAGGGCTTTACTTGTTCGGGGGCTTCAACTATAGGGCCAGAGGGGCAGGGATCTAATGTTGCACCGTGGCATCGGATGAGAAACTGTGAAAATAATACTGAAAAGCCGATGTAGAAGGAACACAACAATAACAAACAAGACATCGGCTCCCAGTCTCAGCCCGCGACCACAGAATGCTGCCATCTGTGCCGTTCGATAGGCCTCCGCGGCAGTGTCGTAAAACACATTAGGTGTGATGCTTCAGTGCCTATTTTGGTCTGACTTCCCCAACACTGCACCTGCTCTCGGATGCTCGAAGTGTACGGCTTAAGGTGATGAGCACCGACGGAACCGAGCTTGATGGTAACTGCAGGTTGGAGCAGCAAGAGCGCAGAGTGCTCTTGCTACCAACATCGCCACATATTTCATATGGGCATCAAAGTTATCGTGACCGACAGCATAAGCACCATCACCATCCTCATCAACCCTAAACCCTAAACGAGCAGATACGCACTGAAAGCTGGGAATTGCAACGTTCGTGTGGCCGCTGTCGAAGTTACAGTCGACACTCTCTGTTGCAGGGCTCCTAAAGATAGTGGCGGGAGTAGTAGTGGTGGTAGTAGTAGTAGTAGTAGTACTAGTAGTACTAGTAGTACTAGTAGTACTAGTAGTAGTAGTAGTAGTAGTAGTAGTAGTAGTAGTAGTAGTAGTAGTAGTTGTTGTTGTTGTTGCTGTTGTTGCAGTTGCTGCTGTTGTTGTTGTTGCTGCAGCAGCAGCAGCAGCAGCAGGAGGAGTCGGCAGCAGCAGTATTGCTTACATCCTGCGCTCAATTATCCAAAACCGTGCCACAGAAACTCCCTGAAAAAAAAACTGCAAACCCTAAACCCTGAACTTCCTAAACCCCTAAACCTTGAAACCCTAAATTTCAGCCAGTGCGGCTCTGAACTTCCGAATGGAGATCGTTGGGCGTGGCCAGGGACTTGAAGAGAGAGGCCATGCCTTGGCAAGCGCACTCTACTTGGAGGATCATGGGACTTAGTAAGTAAGGGATCCTTAAACGGGCTCCGTAAAGGGATCTATAGGGTTCCTGAAAAGGGATCTATAGGGTTTCGGGCTTAGGGTCTACTTGGAGGATCATGGGGCTTAGTAAGTAGGGTTATAAGTGCCTTAATTGGGGTTATAAGTACTTATAAGTATAGCTACCTTCTTTATAGTCCCACTTACTCTAAGTCCCATGATCCTTCAAGAAGGGGCCTCAGCTGGCCTGCGGTTTAGGCTTTTCGGGGTTTCGGGGTTTGGGGGGTTTGAGGGTTTAGGTTTTTGGGTTAAGGGGTTCTGTAGTAGGGTTTTTTGGGGGTGTGTTAAACTGTAGATGCAGCAGGGAACCCCAAGCAGGAGGCATCTACTTATTCAGCCTACTTGTCAGGGTATCCTGGCGAACCTTTACCTTTTTGGTTATACACGGCTTCTCTAGGGACTATACTACCCAAAAGAGGTTAAAGGTTACCTACTCTACTACTAGCTCAGGCTTCTGCAATCGCTGTCTTCGTTGTCATCTGCAGCCGAAACAGGCTCGTGGCCCAAAAAAAGGCATAGCCATGAAATCAACTGTATGGGAGTTTCCGAAAATTAGGGGTACCTGGTTTTGGGGCCCTTTCAGTAAGGATCCGACTATTCAGGGTACTATATTAGGGTCCCCTGTTGTCGGAATTTACCATATAGGGCCTGAATATTTGACTAGTGTAACCCCAGAATCCCTCGATCCTGCGAGGGATCAGGGCTTATGGTACTAGTGTAGGGCTTTCGGGTTTAGGGCCGTTTAGGGCTTAGGGAAGTTTAGGGTTCGTGGCTGTAGGAAATCCTGGAATCCTAAAATCCTGAAGCTCATCCCCGACACCCAAGCATCCGCAAGTGATTCGTCCTGCAAAATGGGAGTTTTCGAAAATAGGAGACCCTAATATAATACCCCAAGTAGTAGGATCCTTCTTATAAGGACCGCAAAATGAGGTACCCCTCATTATCGGAAACTCCCCAATCCGAAACTCCCAAGCAATCTAGAACCTAAACTTGACTGTGGTGCTGCTGTAGCCTGGCTCGATGCCACAGTTGTAGACAACTGCCCCTCCTTTCAGGATTTACGCAGTTTGGGTTTAGGGTGGATTCAGCTTTCGGGTTCGTTGGGTCTGTGAATCAATCTTGCTCGTGGCAAGGAGCAGGTTTTATCGCAATGTTTGCTCGTCTTGCCATATCTTTTACCAAAAGCTAAACGGAGCACATGCTTATAAACGAAACTGGCGGTTTCCCCCGCGACTTGATTGCAGGGCCCTTTCTGTGAATGATCTAACATTTGGTCACGAAGAGACTAGAAGAAGACAGAAGTCAGGACACACTTGCAACTCCTAAAGCCTAACCCTAAGGCTCAAAATAGTCCAAAAGCCTTATATAGTGTGGTCTTTGGGCCCAAAAGCCTTAATATATGAGTCCTTAGAGCCTTAGGGTAAACCCACCCGAGCATTACCAAACCCCACAGAAGAGGGCAACTTTGGGTCTGGGCCTATCGCCGTCAGAGAACTTACAGTAGTGCTTAGAATCGTTACCTCAAAGACCCTAAAAGTACCCTAAATAGCAGGATCCTTATTTCAAGGCCCCCAAAATAAGGTACTCCTAATTTTCGGTAACTCCGGTATGTCCCTCACGTCTTAAATCGTACTTGAACCCTTTAGGGTTTGTTTGTGGTTCCCTAAACCCGAAACCCGAAGTTCGGGGGTAAAGCCGCGTTCAGAGTTTAGGGTTGAGGGTTTAGGGGTTTAGGGGTTTAGGGTTTAGGGCAAACATTACCTTAACCCCGAGCAAACTTATCTATTTGAGGATGCTGAAAGGGTAGGGACCCTATGGTCCTGTTAGGCACTGAAGCTGATGTCGGGGAGGCCCTACGCTGCAGAAGCCTCCTGAAACGTTGCTCTGGTTCAGGGTTTACCTATAGTCTCCATTGTAGTTCCTTTTTTTGGTTAACCAGTTTTATGGTTAGGATCCTATAATAGACTTTTTGGTAGACCAAAAAAAGGAACTACAATGGAGACTATAGGTAGGGTCGAGTCTCTCCCAAAGGGTCCAAAGTACCGATATAGTAGAATGTAGGCTTTCTATCTGAGGAATTACTGCAAATACTCTTATGATTTGGGGAGGTATTCCCCATAACAGTACATAGGACCCTTTGGGTGTGTTTAGAGTTTATCAAAGGGGAAAAGGAGGGACCCTTAATGGGGACCTCTACCCTATAATGGGCTATATAATGTATATATACTAGCTATATTAAGGGCATATACCTAGGGGTCCTTATTAAGGGTCCCTCCTTTTACCCTTGGAGTTTAGGGTCTCCAGAAGCCTCCAATTACCGCAAAGCCTTAGTCCGAGTGTAGGTCCCTTTGCGCTGGGCGGGCAAACGCCCCTACCAAGAGGCTCCATAGTCATTCCTTTTTGGGATTACCTTATAGGATTCTATATATGAACCCCAAAAAGGAACTACTTTGGAGCCTTAGGGTACATCGTAGGGGCCAGAAATCTTGCCTGATCCCGAAAAAAAAAACTCCAGATCCCTAAGCCTGTGGAACCCTTATTATGAGAACCCTCAAAGCTAAACGGAAGACCTTTAAGGGCCCCTTTAAGTTTCAAAGGAACCTTCTACAGGAGCACACCGTGAATTCCTGAAGAGAACCCAAACCCTATCTAGACAGGACCCCTTAAAACAAGGTAGTGTAAGGCACCCACCCTAAAGCATCGGCCTAGTAAACATCCGAGCGAGCAAAGCGCCCCCAGAGGAAGCGACGTCAAACCCAGATCCTCAGCACATCCACTTCCCAAGTATGAGGGGGTATCTTGAGCGTAGGGTTAAGGGTCGTTAAGGGTTCCCGGATTTTCCCCGTATTACGGCTTGGCGCCTCTGTTTTCTGAGGATCGTCATGAGGACTTTGGTCTTGGGGCTTACATGGGACTTCAGTGCTTCGGATGTGGAGCTTTTGCGGTTTGGGCCTCAGAACCGTACTTGGAGGATCATTGGACATAGTAAGGTTATCGGTACCTTAGTTGGGGTTTCAAGTAACTATAAGTTTTATAGCCCTACTTACTTAGTCCCATGATCCTCCAAGTAGTGGGTGGGGCCTTCAGGCTTTAAGGCTGAATTCTGCCTTGAATCCACAGCCAGGGGTTGAGGATGACCTTCCTAGGTTGGCCCTGTAAAGCCTCTGAAAATCGTGAATAGGGTCCTGGTAAGCCCAATAAGGGAAAATGTAAAATGTCCCAAAAGCCTACCTAGATTCGACAGTCAAGTTAAGATCTGTACTCGAATCTCAGGGGTCCCAGACCCACGGGAAAGGGCCCGGCGTCTCGTGCTTCCTAGAAGTGGGCATAAAAGCCATACTGAAGGATCGTCGTGGGGGTCTACCTAGAGGCTCATACCCTAACCCCTTTCTTGGGATACACTGTTGTATGGCTGGGTCTGTTATGTTGAAAAGTAGGTACCCTAAAAGGGTAGGGTATGAGCCTCTAGGTGGGGAATGCAAGAGATGAGATAGATATATGGCCCTAAACCAACCCAAACCAAACATCGTAGGGCCAGGCACGTAGGAGAGCATCATGCCGGTCGACCAGCCGCAAAGCCTGAGTTCCCGAGCTTAAGCGCCAACCGAGGCTTAAAGTCTCAGCTCATCCGAGCTCTTGCCCAGATACTTTTGGGTTGGGCTTTGGGGTCAAAGTTTCAGCCGCTAGAGAAAGCAGAAAGATTGAAAGCTGCAAAACTCAACGAAGGAGCATCCCAAAGGGAACAAAGGACAAGCGCGTGAAGGCAGCCATTTGCCTTCAGGGCCAGAAGGGCGGGCGGTCACCATGTCCACCGAAACTCCACATCACGGTGTATTTGGCAGCTGTTTTGGCTTGGCATGTTCGTGTCTATATTGGAGTTTCCGAAATTCGGGGTGCCTTATTTGGGGGTCCTTATAATAAGGATCCTATTATTTTGGGTGCTATATTCGGGTCCCCTATTGTTCGGAAACTCCCATATCCTAGCCCTGCAAGAGTAGTCCCCTCAGCCCATCCTTCTGGCTCAAGGCTGCTTACCTACTGCATCACAAGAGCATCCAAGGAGGGATCAGGATCCCTCACATAAAAAAGGTGGCCTTGCCCAAAGGGTCCTATGTACTGTTATGGGGAATACCTCCCCAAATCATAATAGTAATTCCTAATATAGAAACCCTACGTTCTACTATATCGGTACTTTGGACCCTTTGGGTTGACTAAATAGAATAGGGAATAGGCTTTCGGCTTGGCGTATGTTAGATAGTGTAAGCATATCTTAGGAGCCCTGAAGAAGATTATTCCTGCAGTTAAGACACCAGAACCTAGGCTCATTGAGCTTAGACCCTAACGCACGTGGAGAGAGACATGCGCGGCTTATAGATGCCTGCATTTTCGGCAGGACTTGTACAGGGGGCCGAAGTGACCAGAACGAGCTGGATAGTCAACATACACACACACACATGCACACTGCGGGAATCGACCACGGAATCAATCAAGGTCCGTTTCCTCTTTGTTCGATCGAGGAACCTGGCTCCGCTGCGCAATGCACAGGGCACGGTGTCCTCCTTGCCTCCCTCTTGCTTGCTTGTTTGCCTTATCCAAGGGGTCCTGAGTACCTTTATCGTAGAATGTGTGGTTTCTATGTCACGAATGACGATTTGGGGAAGTATCCCCCATAACACTACCGAATATAGTGGCCTGAATAATTAGAATATAGGTATTGGGGGCCCATTATACTATACTCATAGTAAGGAACCCCCCAAAATTGTATTAGTATTTTTTAACCCCCTTGTATTCCAAAACTCTATCATAGATCCCTTATAGCACCCTTTATTGGGACATATCACCGAACCCTACAAGTCTCAAGGCCCCTACATTACTTTGTGCCGCACAGGGAGCTTGTAGAACCATTTAAAGATCCCTTTTAAAGGAACCCTTTAAAGAACCCTAAAAAGGAACCCATTTAAAGGCCCCTTTAGTAGGACCACTCTCCTTACCGGCCTCGGCTGGAGCGGATGCGTAAGAAGGTCCAGCAGCGCATCGCTCACAGGAATGTGCCTGGTACAGTAACAGTTTGGTTTGGGGTTTAAACACTCGCAACTCGGACTCGCCAGACTTGGTTTGGGGTTTAGGGTTTAGGGCTTCAAGTTTTAATTTAGGGCTTAGCGCTTGAGGCTTAGGGTTTTAGGGTTTAGGGTTTGGGGTTTAGGGTTTATAGGGTTTTAGGGGTTCGGGTCACAGGAACGTGCCTGCTTGGTTTGGGGCACTCAGGACTCAAGATGCTCACTATACCGGGCTGCTCCTGAAGCTACGGTGGAGCGCTTATTCTTAACCCTCAGCCCGGAAACGCAATGATTCAGCGAGTTCTGGGTCGAGAGGCAGTTTGGGTCGTCTTGGAGATTGGCAGGGCCGAGGCTCACTTACAAGCTCTGGGCTTAAGACAGCACGTCTGGTGTTTGGGGCTTCGGTAAGTCTGGACTGCACCGCTCTGGGGTAATTGGGTTTGGGGGGAGCAGCACACTGTGTGGCTGGACCCCGGCTGTATTCTCGACGCTGAATCAACACGCCATAGAACAAAGGACACAGGGGCAGTAAAAAAAAAACGGAACTGGTGTTTGATTTTTTGCAAAAAACTGTGACTCAAATCAAAACAAGGAGACGTAGAAGAACAAAAATTGTATCCGATATCTGAGGCCCCTATATAAAGGCCTTACATCGCGTGCTCAAACGTATGGTTTCGGCATCGGAATATGGGAGTCTCGCTGCAATGGCCCCCAAGAAGGACCTCGAAGCCCTGAACCCTCTTAAACTCGAGCTCCTAGCCCCTCAAACCCTAAATCCAGAACCCTGAAAACCTTAAACCCCGTATAGCGTAACCCTTCTAGCACCATGAACCTGATGAGCGCTTGGAAAACCATAAACCGAAGCGGCAGTAGTTCAGATCACGAACTCATAGGGCTTAGGGTTGACCTTAACAGCCAACAGCCTAGCTTCGACTAGGGTTGACCTTTACCCCCAAAAGCCTAGCTATTTCTACAGGACGTACGTAACGAATCGTATTAAGAAGCCCTGTGCAGGGTGGTTTGGAAGTTCCGTAGGGTCCAGGTAAGGTTTGATCCCAAGGCACCTCTCCAGATGCTCCAACTCTTGTTGAAGAAGTCCTTCCTTACCGGGGGGTTAGATTATGGGGTTTTTAGGGTTCAGGGAGGCTTAAGCAGTAGGATTTAGGGTTGGGTTTCTCGGGGTCGTGTAATTCGTGTAATTACTATGAAGCTTTAACAGTATGTAAACACTTTCAGAACTTTATCAGACTCTTGTCGGGTTGTTGTCAGGTTTTGACGAGGGTATTAACGAGTATGCAGGGCTCTAAAGGCGGTCTTGCTCCGTTAATTACTCGGGGGCTTTCGAGAACCCGCCACCCTTGGATAGACAAACAAATAGGGTCCTCCGTGAACCGGAAGAGAATTTCAACAACAATGACCCAAAAACCAGGGTGTTGAGTGATGAACGTCACAACGACTGAACCCTAAACCTTAGCCACCCGGACCATCCATTGCAGATTTGTTTGAAGGAGGGCCAAAAGATTTAAACCCATGGCCACAACACAACACACAAACAGGACCCAAAGTGGAGATTGTGGGCCATTTGTGTTAGGGATCGGGGAGGGGAAATCTTCAACGACTACACTGAGTTCCGAACGAACTCACACTGGGGTGTACTATAAGCCTCAATAATAAGTTACCAACATTATTCCTTAGGGTCCTCATGGTATGTAGACTATAAACAAGCCCGAAAACCCTATGCTAATTTCGACCCTTAACCCTTTGCATCCGGGGTCATACTAACCCTTATGAACCCTGTTCCAATTACTCCATTGATGAATGCCCCAATATGAACCCTATTATGGATCCCTTATATATAGAATCAGAACCCTTCAAGGATCCCTTAAAAGGAGCCCTGTTCGAAGTATCAAGGCCCCTGCAGTAGTAGGTGCCGGATTTGAGCAGCCTAGGCACTTTGGCTGTCAAGTTCATCCGCGCAGAGTTCAGCCTCGGATTAGGGTTTCCTAAACCATTGAGGGTTTTAGGGGTTTAGAGGTTTATAAGGGTTTAGGGGTTTAGGGGTTTGGGGGTTAGGGGTTTCGGGTTTAGGGGTTTAGGGTTTAGAGGTTTAAGATTTAGGGGTTTAGGCTTTCAGGTGATCCCTCACCTCCCAGAATCCAGGGACACAGAAGACACGTCACATCCCCGGCACACGTCAAACCTGTCGGCTAATAAGAATTGTGTCTTCACCACGAACGTCCAGCAGAAGCTTGCGGCGCTGAGGTCAAAGGGAGGATTGAAGATGGGCTGCTAAACCATGAACCTGCTGCACACCCAATATCTGCGATCCTCGATCCCTGCGCCCTGAAAGGGTCAATTCCCTGAGATGCAAACCCTGCACCTCACAAGACTACAATGCCTAGCTTAAGGTTGTGGCTGTTGGAATTTCACGGCTTCAGCTCTGCAAGAGAGGAAGCGATTCCCAGAGCATTTGAAGGCCATTTTTTCTGACACTGTGTCGGAACTAAGCAGGAAGCTGGGATGAGTGACAGAGGCTCTGGCTGATCGAACACAGTCGCCTGCACTCTAACAATGCCCTCGTGCACTTGTTAGGGTTCAAGTTCAGCTTCTAAGGTGTTTCTGAATACAGTTGTAAATTACACCATCGCACTCATGTCGGCATTTTATTCAAGCATCTCCCCCCGGGAAGCGAGCAATCTTACATGACCAGTACTCCTGCAGTTCCACGCTTGGGAGGAACGAGAAAAGAAGAAACGACTGCAATCCCAGCCCTGCACACAGAAGACACCAAAATCCACACTTTCAGCCCGCGTGACAGCAAGATGGACAGCGCGACATGCCGAAGCCAGCTGTGAGGGTCGTCGTGCAACTCAGGTGCATCGACGTTGTCGAGATTCGTGTCCGCAATATGGGCGTTAGCGGGCGTTGATGCTTACAGTGGTGTCTTGAGGTATATAGAAGTTTTTGTTTTAGTCAGCAACTGCGAAAAATGCAAGGTACTTAGGCTTGCAGATCAGGCTTTCCGTACGTTCCATCCTTTCCTTTCCTTGCTTGACAATGCCCCGCAATGCAGGGCTTGAGACCGGTCGGTGAAGAGTTCTGACCTGTGGGCCTTGACAGCTAGAAAAAGGTGTTGGAGCACAGCAAAGTATAGTTATAGATATTGGTAAATAGACTGCAGATTTTGGAGGATTCCAGGTTCTGAGGGTCTAGGGTTTATAGGGCTTCAGATTAAGAGTTTAGGGTTTAAGGTTAACGATTAGGATGTCGCGTTCTATGTAGGGACATCGAGGGACGGTACTGTAAGTAGACTCAGGAAACCAACAAGCAACTTCCGAGTTCGAAGCCGTGGGAAGCACCGGAAATCCCGGATGCCCCAGAGGGAAAAACACTACAGCAATCAGGGCAACACTATCGAGCGCTTGTATGACCCATACAAATCCCCGATGGAACTGTTATGGAAACAACTTCGAGCACTTATAAAAGCCCTTTATAGTTACACACATGGAACCATTACAGAGAACCAAAAGATATATCGGATTCGCAAATGTCGCGTGCGCTTCGAGATTAACGCTAAAGCTCTAAGGACTGGTGTGTTCATGCTTCTTGGGCTCCAAGACAACGCCATAGAAGGCTTTTAACTTTTGGGCTAGTTTGAACCCTAAACCCAAAACCCTAAACCCAGTTTAGGGTATATTATAAAGGGTTAGGATTCTGGGGTTTAGGGTCGAGAGCTTTGGGAGTTTAGGGTTTTGGACTCTCAAGACTCGCAGAAGGCAGGCAAGGCTTCACATAGTATCGGTTTAAGGGTGTCAGGCCTTTTAGGGCTTTCGGAGTTTAGTTGGCTTATCGCTGTAGCAGAATAGGGTTCAGGGATGGATTCTGGGTTTTCGGCGTTAGTTTGGTCAGGTCTCGTGCGGAGGTTCTACAGGTCTGCCGACTTTGCGCGTCCATTGTTATGTTCCTCTATGTTTGTAAGGTGTGAAAACATGACTCATGACAGAACCAGAATATACCCCAAACGTCCTCAAACGACGTTCGGTTGTTGTCGGGCTCTGCCCCCCTCTAAGCCCTGAAACCTAGCCCGTAAAACTCTGAACCCTAAATCCAGCTGCCTCTGTGATGACCTTGTCCAAGAACAGGCAGAAAGTTTCGAAGTCTTGCTCGTCCCGGTCGAATCCGCAACAGAAAAGGCTAGCGAACCACCGCGACACGAGCTGCTCCTCAAGGCGTTTTTAGGGTGCCTCAAGGCTTCGGGAGTGAAACGGTTTGGGGCTCCTGTAAGGGTTACCATAAGGGCCTCGGATTCCTCCAAAAGCTTCTATCAGGGTTGTCATGTGTGGGTTCAGGGGTCCTCTAGGAGCTGCGATCAGGGTTTCTTGAATGGTTCCGCGTGTGGAATTCCTTCAGGAACTACCATACCATAAGTGTCTAGGGTTCCTCTATACGGGTTACCATAGAGGGGTTCAGAATTCCATCAAGGGCTACCAGGTAGGGCCCTGCTACGGGTTACCATTTATGAGTTACCACAAGTGGGGTCAGGGATTGAGTGTTGCCGTTGCCACAAGGGTGGAAAGTTGTATCCAAAATACCGCCCTCGCAGAACCCGTTCAGACCTCTATCAAAAGTTTTTGGAGCTCTGCAGCCGGCTGGGTCGGGGCTGAAGGGCCGAAGATATTTTGACAGATTTAAGATTTAGAGAAGAAATAGCTGGGTTTCGAAGGGAAAACAAAAACTTGTATGTCAAAACAAGTCCTTGCAGTCCTTGAAGGAACAGGTCCAGAACCTTTTAGAGTATGGTACTCCAGAACCAACGGAAAGCAAAGCCTTACACGAACAAAAACAAAACCCAACTCAAAGGTACCAAAGCACTTCTCCCGCCCCCCAAATCCTAACCCTAAACCCTAAACCCTAACCCCCCCTCCCCCCAAAAAAAAAGCCGGCGATGCCAAAGTGCTAGTTGCCGGTCGCAGTTTTGAGCTTTGATCGCTGCCACGGTCTTCCTTGTATGAAGTCTAATGTAGGAACCTGATTAAGAAAAGGCACCCTGGGCCTATAGCCCCAACATAGTAGGATTCATATAAGGAACCCTAATAAAGGCCCAAGGTTTCTTGAACAGGTTCCTACATTAATTAAGAGGGATTGCGGCCTAAGAAACTCGCACCTCTATGCCCGAGGCCCTGAATGTGGTCTTTTGGGCTTTGGGTGTGACAAGGCTTCAAGCGTTAAAGCAAATCAAACCTTGAACACCAAGCGCTAGGGCCCTAAACCCCATGTCAAGCAACATCTTGAGGGTTTTGTTCACAAAGGCTCCTCTCAAGTGCCGTGGAGAGCTTGAGGAATAGTACTGAATGAGAAAGTACTATTTCGCATGAGAAATATTAAGTTATCTTTGCTGTTCATGCTTACCCCCTTGGGTCTGGGACCTTTGGTGTGCTTTGCAGCTGTGATCAGCGCAACCACACACTCTTTGCCCAGTTTGAGATTCTGTTTTATGTTTCAAGTGATGTTCGAATTATTTGGTGACTTTCCTCTTAATGCAGGAACCGCAGAGACCCCTCTCCGAAGAAACCCCTGAACGATTTGAAAGAATATAGCCCCTCAAACCCTGAACCCTAGAGGCAGTGACAATGGCGAAAGAGTAGGTTGAAGCTCTCGGCTCCAAAGAATGCCCTCAAACTACCCCTCCCTAAGACCGCAGTTGCCTATGTAGTGGATTGTAGTGGATTCATAATGGGCTATGGGTACTACAGGATTCTAGAAAGATTATGGAACAGAGGCCCGCTATGAAGGATCCTTGGGGCTAGTCAGGAGCAGTAGATTAGGTTGAAGCGGCGGCGATGGACACTTATGCTGCCATGGCTACGATAAGCTCCGTAGGACACATTACCCTACTTGTCGGGGATCATGGGGAACTAAAGGTTAACCTTTTTGGCTATATAGGGATTACATAGGGGCTATACTACCCAAAAAAGGTTAAAGGCTACGTGCTCTACTACTAGGTTATCTGCGCTTGTGTTGTAACAACACAGACCTTCCAAAATCCCTTAACTAAGGAATATACCTTACATTATAATAGGATCCCTCTTTTGAATTAAGGTATATTCCTTAATTATGGGATTTCGAACCTCGGGAAAATGACTCCCTAAACCCTTAACCGAACCTTTGGATGGGCCGTATCAGTCCGTATAAGCGCGTGACAGCGTTTGGATGGTCTGGTCGACGGTTTTTGCTGACTTGCAGTCGTGGAGCCAAAAGCTCTAAACCACTGCTCTAAACCCAAGTTGGAGGATCTGGACACTTAACTAACAAAAAGTAAGGTTAGTACTATGCTGGGCTATGAGAAATGACAACTACAGTTAGCTCATTTATAGCTTTACTTACCAAAGCCCATGATCCTCAAGGCATCAATGCATGAACCCTAAACCGATGCAGTTCCACTGCAGCACGTGCGTCGGGCAGAGGATGGAGAAGGAGTCGAGGACCTCGTACACCTGCCCGGGAAGCTTCTTTGGCAATTTAGGGTTCAAATGTCAAGGGTTTAGGGTTCAAGGTTTGCGTTCAGGATTTACGCTCTCACACTCGGACTCGGCCAGGCGATAAGGATTTAGAGTTCATGGTTTGACAATGTTTGAAAACCCTAAACCCTAAACCCTAGAGTTTCGGGTGTGGGACCAACCGCGAGCATGGTGGGGGCCTGGGCAGTCACCAATACCCTAAGGCTCTAAGGACTCATATATTACGGCTTTTGGGCCCAAAGACCATACCATCTAAGGATTGTGGGCTATTTTGAGCCTTAGGGATACTATTCCTTAGGGTTCCTGGTTAAAAGCAAAACTAGAACTTGCACCAAACTACGAGTCTGCTTGTTGAGGCCCCTGTATTGAAGGGTTGGGGTTTAGGGTTTCTATGATAGTCCTTCAAAGCCCATCCCAGTTCCTTCATGCAGGATACTATAGGCATAAGGTTTATAGGAGTTCAGAGCTCAGAGGCTCGGCTCAGCTTTGAGCATTTCGGGTTCAGGTGGGATTAGGGTTGAGGGTTGGGGGTTCAGTTTCCGGGGCTGATGCGAAGGCCCTAATCCCGAACCTTACGAAGTCGAGGCCCCTCCGAGTTACACAAATCCCCCTCAGCAGTGCAAGCCATCGAACACTCTACAAACCTCTCTACAAACTCGGGAAAGCATCGAAGCAAAAACACAAAATCTCGGGATACCTTCAAATGCTCCATAGGAACCGCAAAAGGTCATCCAGAATTCTCTGAATCCTCTACCGACTGTTACACCTGCATGCTATGCTTGAGCAAGACGTCAACACGGTCTTCCATCTGATCGGAGGAGTGCCCCTTATTGAGGAAGAGTCCCTATATAACAGCCAGACCTCCAGACTTCATGCAAGGAGTCCCCGAATTAAGGATGCACCGTACCCGATTAGAATCACGGCTACCTGGAAACCAAAACTACATAGAATAATGGCCCTTTAGTGGTTTTGGGCCATTATTTTACCTACTTTTGAGGGTTCAGGGTAAGAGACCCTAATATAGTGCGGTAAATGGTAGGATCCTTATTAGGACCCTAAAATAAGGTACCCCTAATTTTCGGAAACTCCCGTTTGACTTCAGGAGTATCGAAAAGTCGGCTGCGAATGGGAAGACCCAGACCCTAAACCCTCCGTATCATAGGGATCCTTAGGGGTGTAGGGGGAGGGGGGGTAGGGGGCCTTAAGGCCCATAATAAGGACTAATAAGGCCCATTTAAGGAAGTATAGTCCCCTACACCCCTAAGGATCCCTATGAGCTTGGGGCTTTGGGGTATAGGGTTTAAGGGTTTATAGCGTTTGGGGAAGGGTTTGGGGTTTCAGGCTTTTTACTTGCTTGAAGGGTCATGGGACTTAGTACGTGGGGTTAGAAATATAAGGCAACTATACTTATAACTACTTATAACTCCAGTTAACGTACTTATAACCCTACTTACTAAGTCCCGTGATCCTCCAAGTACCTGGTCCCCGGATAACCTACCTTTTTAAGGACACATATAAGGAAATCATACTAAGGAACCCTAAAAATGTAGGTTCCTTAGGGTCCAGGTAAACCCCCGAAGAAATGCCCTCAAGGCTCAGAGGTCCTGAACCCCAAACTCGTGTTTAGGGTCTAGAGTCTAGAGTTTATAGGGCTTTGGGGTTTTTAGGAAACTCTAACCCAAAGGGTCCTATGTACTGTCCCCAAATCATAGTAGTAATTCCTAATATAGAAACCCTACATTCTACTATATCAGTACTTTGGATCCTTTGGGTAAAAACCCAAACTCCTGTTTAGGGTCTAGAGTTTAGGGCTTTGGGGTTTAGGGGAAACTCAAAAACCCCAGAGAGCCCAATACCCCTTAATTAAGGAATATAGCTTAAATCATAACATGAAGCCCCTTCTAATTTAAGCCACATTCCTAAATTAAGGGGTATCAGAAACCCTAGATCCCTTATAGACCCCTTTTAAAGGAGCCCTAGGTATATTCCTTAAGTAAGGGGTCTTGGGCTCTCTGGGAACCCAAGAGGTCCGCAGCGCTGGCCTGGTCATCCAGGATTCGGCGGCCGTGGGCTGTTTCCAATGCAGGAACCTCAATCAAGAGAGCCCAATACCCCTTTATTAAGGAATGTGGCTTAAATTGTAAGGGGCTTCGTATTATGATTTAAGCTATATTCCTTAATTTAGGGGTATTGGGCACCAATCACGAAGAATTCTCCGAACTCTTCGGCTCCTTAAAGGGATCTATACGGCTCCTTAAGGGATCTATAGTAGGGTTCCTTAAAAGGATCAATAGGGTGCCTTCAAGGGGTCCTTCAAAGGGATCTATTTGGGTTCTATAGGAGGGGTTTTAGGGTTACTTAGAGGATCATGGGACTTAGTAACTAGGGTCATAATCACGAAGAGTTCTCTCAAAGGGGAAAAGGAGGGACCCTTGATGGGGACCCCTAATTACCCTCTGATGGGCTATCTAATGGGTATATAATAGCTATATTAAGGGTATATACCCTGGGGTCCTTATTAGGGGTCCCTCCTGTTACGCTTGAATTCTCTGAGCTTCTTCAATTCCCCATGCCAAAAAAAAGTTCTACGCTTGAAGAACATTAAAGTACCTAAACCCGAATTGAAACCCCGAACCCTAAACCTTCGCTTTTGGACCATTCAGGTTTAGGCTCTGCATGCAGGTCTACAGGCTGTAACTCTAAGGATCCATGTGCCCAAATTGTATATACTTATAGGCCTTAAAGTAGTCCCTACATTGGTACTCTGGAGCAAAGTATATACTATTTGGGTACATGGATCCTTTGGGTAACTAGGGCATACTAAGGCTACTTGGGTTCCAGAGCTTGTGTTTTTGTGGAGGGTGGGCTTGGGGCGTTGAGGTGCCGATTGGTGTCGGGAATGGTTCGGGAGATTCGAACATCCAGAGATCCCAATACCCCTTAACTAAGGAATATACCTTAAATTATAATAGGATCCCTAGTATGGTTTAAGGTATATTCCTCAATTAAGGGATATTGGGTTCTCTGGGTAAGTAGGGCTCTTTCAGGATTCGTGCTGTGCCTCTGCAGCTCTCACGCAGCAGTCGGAGCCAACACCCTAGACCTGAAACACCAAAACTCCTGAACCCTATAAACCCTTCCATCCTAGTGCACGAACCAAGAACCTCCACAAATCCAGGGGCCCAGACAAGTGCTTGCCTTTTCTAGGGTTCAAGGGCCTAGTACACTCTCTAACTACTTAGTCCTTGAGGTCTCTAAGCCCCTAAAGATTACCCTCGGTTTAATGCTTCGAACATGTACTGCCCACAAGGTTCCTGAGATATTCATACTGTCAACTGACCAACGTCCCAAGTCCAACGTTTGAGGCGCCCATATTTCAGATCCAAGTCCTGACCTCATGTCATATGGGTGGTTGTCAAAATTCGGGTCCTCATTATAGTACGGCACCCAATATTTAGGGTACCCAAGAAGGGACCCTAATTCTGACAACCACCCATATGCATCGGGAATCAGGATATCGGCGTTAAGTTTGGACTGTAACAGGGTCTGGGGCTTCGGAAGCGCTTTGTTACGGAACCCGGACTACATCAGTGAAGCCCTAAACACTAATTTGCGATGCCATTGCCGGAGGAAACAACCCGAAATCTCGAAAGATGTTCGTGCCCAGGCGCACACAAGGGCTGCAGGTCCTTGGGAAGTACCAGAGCTTGGGACCAATAGGGTCTAGGGTTTAGGGGCGGGTTCTCAGCCGGCTCCTTGGTTCTGTCATGTTTGTAGGGTTTAGGGTTTAGGGTTTAGGGTTTAGTGCCAACTTTCTGGGGTTGCCATAAAGGGAACTCCAGAAAGTTGGAACATGGTTTCAGGGTAGGATACCCTATAATTTACCACAAAGGGTTTAGGATAATCATATTCCAACTTTCTGGCATTTACTGTATTGGTAAGAACGGTATTCGTAGAAGTATGAGTAGCATCAAGACCGAGAAACGAACAAGCATGCACGAGAATGGGACTGTACATGCGAAGATATGAATGTGCTTCTTCCTTCATCTGCCATGTTCAGCACGGGTTGAGGTGCCCGTGTCCTAAGCCCCGGATCTTCAGCTTCATCACCCAAAGGCCCCAAAGTAGTTCGGGTTCATATATAGAATCCTATAGGGTAATCCCGAAAAAGAACCAATTTGGGGCCTAATGTAATGTCATCCCCATGGGCATAGACCTTAAACTCACGCTTGAACGGACCCGTTCAGGGGCTTCAGGAAACTAGGTACGTTAAATAGGTGTTTAGGATCCCCTACCTAGACCCTGAAGCCCTCAACCCTAAGCCCTAAACCCTCAAGCCCTAAGCCCTATAAGCCTTAAACCCTCTAAACTCTTACACCCTAAAGCTTTAAGCCCGAAAGCCCTAAGCCCAAAACCCCTTAAACCCCATATATCCCTAAACCCTGTAAATCTTACCCAACGACTCGGGCGAAACTGCCGAAACCCAAGAGCCTTCAACTCCCAACTCGCAACAGACTCCGAGTAATCTGTTCACATTTGCGATTTGTTCATAGGAGGCCAAAAGGGGGTTTGGCCTAGGGGGGTTTAGTAGGGATTAGGGTCACTATAATAGGGTTCAGGTTAAGGAATCCCTACAAAGGAATCCCTACATCTTAAACCCAACTGGGCTTTACAATCGATCATGGGACTTGGTATCCTCTATATAAAGGGTTCCTGGGGTTTAGGGGTTGATGGGGTTTAGGGTATAGGGGCTTTTGGGGTTTAGGGCTTTCGGGTTTAGGGGTTGATGGGGTTTACAATGGATCATGGGACTTGGGACTCATAGTATCCTCTATATAAAGGGTTCCTAGGGTTCCTTTAAAGGGTACTCTAAGGGTGCCCTTCTATAGGGATTAGGGTGTAGGGTTTAGGTTTTCCAGACCTTCCAAAATCCCTGAAGTAAGGAATATACCTTAAATTATAATCGGATCCCTAACATGAATTCAGGTGTATTCGCCAATTAAGGGATTCTGGAAGGCAGGGGTAAAGTGGCCAAGAAAAAGGCAAGCTGCTATTGCCCACATATTTGGCAGAATATATACATTATACACTTGAACATATACTGTTATTTCATATTTGGTTCCTTTGAGGAACAAGTCCAAAAAACATCAAAGTGCGGCGCCCCAGAACTCAGCACACCCTCACCTGCACCACCAAGCTTCGAAATGCTCCACAGCGCCCACCAGGAGGCTGTAGGCATCAGCCTCTCCCATGTAACAAATCATAGAATCGGTTTAGGGCTTATGCGGTTTTTGAAATATTTCCTTGAACCACAACAACCTACGCTTTTGGTAGGGTGTTATGAGCTTTAAACCTCGGTTTACACAAGACCCTACAAGCAAGTAGCCTCAGGATGGGCTTATAGGGTTGGGTGGGTTCTGGCTCGGTTCGCTGTGCACAGCCCCGAGAGAGTCATTGGGTTTGTAGGGGTTGATATCGGGCTTATAAGGGGTTATGGTTCTCGACTGCTCTGACCGCAATCTCGAGGATTAGGACCTAGAGGTCTGGCTATTATAAGACTTGCAAAGATTGGGCATCAACAAGAGAAGCCGCTGCGTATGCGCGTGTACGTATACGTGCCTAAAATCACCTACACTTAAGACTTGCATTCAGCACATGAGCTGTCAGTCTAAAGATAGGGCCACGGCTCAGTACACAAACTCCACCGACCGCAAGTAGAACACTTAGGACTGCAACTAGATACTATAACCTGCGTACTGAGTCCCCTGACCCCTCAAGCACGGCATCGTAGACTCCCCACAACAAATTGCTCTGGCAATACCGTTGAACCCGTCGCGATCCCGACCGGCCCGTGCACAAATGTTCAACTGGTCACACGAGTCCGAAGTGTAACAACAGTTTGTGAGTTTCTAGGCACAACCCGGGACGACAGAACCTAATCTTTGTGAGGAGCTCATCCTCCTAGCCCCAAGATGTTCACTTAACTTAGTCAAAGCATACATGACCCAAAACAACTTCCATCCGGGCTGGGTAAACGAGCCCACAATACAAAACCCTGGACAGTAGGATCCCTGTCCTAAGCACCCCTAATCCCTAGGCCACAAATCCCTAAACCTGAACCGAAAACCCTGAAACCCTAAGTAAGGCAACAATCCAATTTCGAGGACAGTCTCCGCACAAGCCCCTAAACCCTAAACCGTCCTAGCAGGCTGTGGGTCTCACACCAAGAAGCCATAAGAACTTCATACAGGGGCCTTTATAAGTAGAATCGGATTTTGGGGCCCATCATTCTATTAATATAAAAGGGCCCCCACGAATAGTATAGGTAATTATTGAGGCCCCTATGGTATGGTACCCTTTTGGTAGCCCTTATAGTAACCCCCTTCAAAGGGAACCCTTGGAACCCAATAGGTGTCTAGAACCATCCCTTGACTTTCTCAGGCTATGCATACGGTTGGAATTAGACCCTAGCAAGCAAGCAGCAGGTCTCCCGAAGCCCTATAATCCCTAACCCCACCTAGGGAGACCCTATAAGCCCTAAACCCCACCTGTTTCATACTATCGCGGCCTCCTTCAAGTTCCCCCTAAACCCTGTTGTAAAGCCCTAAACGCCACTTGTTTCATACCTGGACCCAAGAGTAACCTAGGAGTAGAAAGGGTGCCCTTCTTGGTCTAAAGGGGCTTATAACAGAGGGGGGCCACTCAAGCGAAGCCAAAATTGCAAAGCTTGTTCGACCCCACATTTGGAGCCGCGTATGCTGCAGTTGGTCCGCACCGAAAGTGGACGTCGGCGGCACTAGTGGCCGAACACGTTCCAGACACAGCAGCCAGAACACTTCCACCTTTGAGCTGCAGGCGGACTCATGGGACAAACAGGATCTGGTCCAAACAGGTCAATGTCGATGCTTTCTCAGGCACAGGTACCTTCTGGGAGAACTCTCAACTCAATCTTGCACAGGCGAGGCCGTGGCGCTTCACAGCTCTCAGAAGTCCACTAACAAGAAAAACAGAGTACGCAGCACTCGATCTTTTTCTTGAGCTAAAAACATTCGAAGCAAAACGAAACGAGACAAAACGAGTGCGGTCACTAACCTGATTCAAAAGCAGTTCTTCCATTTGAGGAAAAACCTGTGTTGCGGGGGCGGCAGCGGCACGGGTCTGTGTTGCGCAGAGATGTGGATTTGCTGAGCAACAAAGTCGTTGGAGCGCCTGCTGCGAGCGATCTTTTTTTTGTCGGTTTGTGACAGCGGATGCAACCATCCTGCGCAAAGACACACGCAACCATGAAGCAAAAAAGACCCGATTTGACGATGGAACTGACTCAGAGAGCAAAAAGAAATTGAAGCAGAGGTGCAATCTCCGAGAACAGCGAAAAGTGCAGTTCGGTCTTTTGAGGGAACGCAACCACTGGTCTAGCAACAGCAAATGCAATCAGAAGCAAGGCAGAGGCAAAGAATGTTGCAAATGGGTCTCTGCTAAAAGAGCAAAAAAAATCTGGCGAGAGCCAGGTGAGCCCATGTCGTGCATGAGGGGTTTTGGAGTTAAGCACCGTGCACAAATTCCGAACCGTCAGCCACACCTCTCGATACCATAACTCTACACAGCTCAAGAAGTCCTGTTCAGATCTGGTGGAGATACCTTCCAGAAAATTCCGCCGCTCTTGTATGATCTGTTCCGGCCCACCTTCTCGATACCATAACTCTGCATGGCTTGATCTGCTCTGTTCAGAAATGCTAGAGTCACCTCTGGCAAAAATTCCCTGTCTTTGTACGATCTCAAAGCTGCACAGTTATGGGGCTGTCGGGCGACCCCATTTTAAGGCCCGCAAAACACAAGCAATTCTGGCTTCGCGAGGTCGGCCCTCCACAGTTGCATTCCGCTGGCTGCAGCACTATTAAGGGCGAGCAACACAGCTGCTTTGGACAAGTTCCGACCTTCCAAACGGTCCTCCACCAGACGCTCCCCAAAGTCAATACAATCAATGACATGCGCAGCTGACGAGATTCAGCCGCTGTGGGTGCAGGAATCAAACTTGCGACCCCAAAAATGGGGCCGTCTCGCGGCCCCAGAAAAGGAGCCGCGAAATCCAGTCAACCTCCTTCAACATATTTTGACTGGCAACCAGAGGACCCCAAAATCGGGGCCGCTTGGCGGCCCCTATTTTGGGGTCGCGAATTCCTCATTTTGGGGCCCAAGCCCAAGCCCGTGCGTTCCACACTGCTACATCAAGGCGACTCGCCCACAGGCAGGCATCCAGTGTGGAAAAATCGTTCTCCAACAAGAATTTCCAACAGACAGCTTGCCTGTGGAAGTGATAGACATGAGAGAACAGAGGGGGGCCACTCAAGCGAAGCCAAAATTGCAAAGCTTGTTCGACCCCACATTTGGAGCCGCGTGTGCTGCAGTTGGTCCGCACCGAAAGTGGACGTCGGCGGCACTGGTGGCCGAACACGTTCCAGACACAGCAGCCAGAACACTTCCACCTTTGAGCTGCAGGCGGACTCATGGGACAAACAGGATCTGGTCCAAACAGGTCAATGTCGATGCTTTCTCAGGCACAGGTACCTTCTGGGAGAACTCTCAACTCAACCTTGCACAGGCGAGGCCGTGGCGCTTCACAGCTCTCAGAAGTCCACTAACAAGAAAAACAGAGTGCGCAGCACTCGATCTTTTTCTTGAGCTAAAAACATTCGAAGCAAAACGAAACGAGACAAAACGAGTGCGGTCACTAACCTGATTCAAAAGCAGTTCTTCCATTTGAGACCGAAAAACCTGTGTTGCGGGGACGGCAGCGGCACGGGTCTATGTTGCGCAGAGATGTGGATTTGCTGAGCAACAAAGTCGTTGGAGCGCCTGCTGCGAGCGATCTTTTTTTTGTCGGTTTGTGACAGCGGATGCAACCATCCTGCGCAAAGACACACGCAACCATGAAGCAAAAAAGACCCGATTTGACGATGGAACTGACTCAGAGAGCAAAAAGAAATTGAAGCAGAGGTGCAATCTCCGAGAACAGCGAAAAGTGCAGTTTGGTTTTTTGAGGGAACGCAACCACTGGTCTAGCAACAGCAAATGCAATCAGAAGCAAGACAGAGGCAAAGAATGTTGCAAATGGGTCTCTGCTAAAAGAGCAAAAAAAATCTGGCGAGAGCCAGGTGAGCCCATGTCGTGCATGAGGGGTTTTGGAGTTAAGCACCGTGCACAAATTCCGAACCGTCAGCCACACCTCTCGATACCATAACTCTACACAGCTCAAGAAGTCCTGTTCAGATCTGGTGGAGATACCTTCCAGAAAATTCCGCCGCTCTTGTATGATCTGTTCCGGCCCACCTTCTCGATACCATAACTCTGCATGGCTTGATCTGCTCTGTTCAGAAATGCTAGAGTCACCTCTGGCAAAAATTCCCTGTCTTTGTACGATCTCAAAGCTGCACAGTTATGGGGCTGTCGGGCGACCCCATTTTAAGGCCCGCAAAACACAAGCAATTCTGGCTTCGCGAGGTCGGCCCTCCACAGTAAGGGAACCTAAACCCTAAAAAAGGGAAAAGTGCCTACTCAAAGGATCATGGGACTTAGTAAGTGGTGTTATAATTAGGTTAGCTATACTTATAACTACAGTAAAGGTACTTATAACCTTACTTACTAAGTCCCATGATCCTCCAAGTGCTCTAGGTCCTAGATACCATCTCCGGAGCCGCCTCTCCTTCAAGCTCCCCCTAAACCCTGCGGTAAAAGCCCTAACCTCCACTTTCCAAGGGTAAAAGGAGAGACCCTTCATAAGGACCCCTAGGTAAATACCCTTATAATATAGCTATTATATACCCATTATATATCCGGACTATAGGGTAGGGTCCCCATTAAGGGTCCCTCCTTTTCCCCTTTGACACTTGTTTCACACCATCCCAGAGGCCTCTCTTCCAACCGTCGCCAACAGCAGCGAGGCCAGAATCGCAAGGTCTGGGTTGAAGCCAATCGGCCTGGCAGGGGTGACTCCGCCTTTCCTGGGCTTCGTGTTAAGGGATGGAAATTAAGTTACCATAATAGGGATCTACGTGGAGGGCTATGGGACTTAGTAAGTAAGGTTATAAATACTTTAACTGGGGTTATAAGTAGTTATAAGTATAGCTGCCCTAATTATAACCCCAGTTACTAAGTCCCATGATCCTTTAAGTATCTATAGTAGATAATAATGTTTCGTTATTGTGGTAACTTAAAACTACCCCCCTTAACAAGAACCCAGTTGTTAATGGGCTCCTTCCTAATTATGGGAAGGGTTTCTAAAGGCTTCTTGGGTTTTTAGAGGCTATAAGGATTACAAAGGCTGCTCTTGGGAACATAGGCTTACCATGTGAGTTAGATGCTCTACACCAGTCGCAATCTTGTCTTGTCATCTTCTTTTCGACATGAAGCACGCCTAATCCCTAAACCCTGAAAAACAAGACTTACCATAAGTATTAATAGGCCTGCACGGGTCCAATTGCATGGGTACGAATTTCTGCTGACACTGTTAGCTTCGTGAAAACTTTTTATCAGCACCTCCTTCACGCGGAAGAGATTGACAGTTGAGCCTAGTTGCCCTGCCACCAGGGTTCGGAGCAAATGCGACAGGTTCCGTTCAGAATTAGCAAAGTTCACAACCTTTTGTGGGAAGTGCCTGTATCTCAGCGCGAAAACTCTCAGAACACGCCGCAGCTCTTCACGGGCACCCACGTGGCCGTAGTTTGCATGACGCAGCTCCTGGTCGAAGCTTCAGTGCCCAAGCCCGGACATTGACAACTGTCCCAATAAGATCTGGGGGTTTCAGAAAACTAGGAGTACCTTATTCTGGGGTCCTTATAAGACGGATCCTACTATTTTCGGGTCCCCGATTTTCGGAAACTCCCATCTTGCGCTCCACAAAGAAAGCCAGCTACAAAGGTGTGGAAGATCAAGACAAAGTATGCAGACAAACATGCAACACAGAGTCCGGCGACAACAAGCAACATCAAAAACTCTAGCTAAACCCTAAACCCTAAACCGTTCCATTCCCCACCCAAAGTTCGGCAGGACGGAGTCCCTCCCTTCTGTTGTTAAAGTGTGCTGGTATCAGAAAAGAGTGTTTGGCCAACAGATGCTCATGACCAACCAGCGGCGTTATCCAAGCCCAAATATATGGGAGTTTCCGAAAATAGGGGACCATAATATAGTACCCTTAATAATAGGATCCTTATTATATGGACCCAAAAAAACAGGTACCACCTAATTTTCGGAAACTCCCATATTTGAGGTGGCACAGCATGGTCGAGCTCCTGTACTTAAAGGATCATGGGCCTTAGTAAGTGGGGTTATAAATAAGGTAACTATACTTATAAGTACTTATAACCCCAATTAAGGCACTTATAACCCTACTTACTAAGTCCCAGGATCCTCCAAGTATACTTTGGAAGGGAGTTCCTTATTGCTCAGCCCAGCGGCAAGAGAGGCTGCCTTATCAGGAGTTGTTGTGAAGGATGGCAGGTTCTTTGACTATTTCTAAAAAAAATCTAAACCCCTGAACCCTTAACTCTGAAACCATCATCAGACCCTTAAACTTTAAATCCCTTTAAGGGACCCTATAGATCCCATTAAGGGTCCCGACAGATCCCTTTGTCAGCCCAGGGCGCCAGCCCAAGGAAGCTCTCGTCAGGCTCTCCCGCTAAGGCTACAGGCTGGCGGCGCAGTCTCTGATACCTTTACAAGGGGGTTTGAGGTTTGAGGGTTTAGGGTTTAGTGGTTTCGGGTTTAGGGGTTGGGCTTGATTTTTGTTTTTGTTGCACCCCCTTTCCGCCTGCACTATCCATGAAGTCGGAACACACAACAGGGCTTGAGGTTTGGGGTTTAGGGCTGTTGTTTTAGGGGGATTATAACGGTATAGTAACAACCAGAAACCCTGAGGAATAATACTACTGATTGTTCCGACCCCTGTATTTACCGATGACTGAGGTGTAGGGCTCGAGGGCTTCTAGGGGGAAGCCTCGGGTACTTTGGCCATGGAGGTTCCCGGGGCTGGTTCCTGCTTTAGGCTAGTATAAGGCCTTATTAAGTGGAGTAGGGTTTTGGTGCATATGTTAGTATAGTTTAGGGTTGTAAGGCTTAAGGGCATACTATCACATTTCTACTGGCATGGCTCCCCGGCTGTTTAAGCAAAGGGCACGCATCGGTACAGAACATACTTCAAGGTTCATGGGCATCATACATCGAGTTTCAAGCAAGGTCGCTGCACTTTTGGGGTGCTTGTGAAGCCACTTAAGATACCGACAAGCCTACCTGTAACTTCTACGAACATGGGAGTTCGGTAAAGGCTCAGTGTATTTAGGGTTGTGGTTTAGGGCCAGGGTTTCCTACTTGTGGGGTATCATGGGGAACCATCAAGGTCAACCTTTTTGTATAGGGATTATATAGGGGCCATACTACCCCAAAAGGTTAAAGGTTAACTACTGGGCTATTTAGGTTTTATTAGCAGTCTACCGATAAACATATTGCCATTTGATCCTGCGATTGCTTGTGCGCAGCCCACCCTTAACCGTCGTACTCAACAAAAGGTTGAAGGGGGTTAGCAGTCTTAAACCAGCTTCAGCATTCTACTCCCGCTTCTCTCCAAAGCCTGAAGCCAAAACCAGATCAAAGGTCTACTATCCCTACACCCTGCCAAATCCCCCGACTAATGAACATCACTAAGACTCAGACAACCATACCAACTCTCTAAACCCCCCTAAACCCTAAACCACTCCAAAACCCCAAACCCAATCTCGAAACCTGAAGCATCCTTAAGCCCAGACCCTAAACTGCAAAAGGCCAGCAGCCCTGTAATATAGGGGCCTGAATAAACAGAATAGGGCTTCGGGTGCAGATTATATGTTATAGTATACTTATCATGAAGAACCCCCCAACATGGCATTGGTAATTATCTAGGCCCCTGTACTTCCTTCATTCGCAGCCCTGGCTCAAAGGGCCATATCTTAACCATTACATACAAGGAACTCATAACAAGGAACCCCCCAAAAAGTAGGTTCTCTAGGGTCCCCAATGAGGGGGTTAATGCTATGACTTACGGTATATTCCTTACTTAATGGTTATTGGGTTGTCGGGTTTTCTAGGCTCCAGGTAGGGCCGGAAGGTTTTGCCGGGAAGCTCCCTTTTCGCATCCTCCGGCGTCCGGCAAAGAACAGCCGCCCAGGCAGCAGCCCTTTCAGATTTCAGAAAGAAAACAAGTAATACAGGGGCCTTATTAATTAGAATAGGGTTTGGGGGGCCATTATACTATATTTATACCAAGGAACCCCCAAAACAGTATTGGTAGTTATTTGGGCCCTATATTAGTAACTGGTACACACTACACACAACAGCAAGTAGCAGCAGTAAGAATGGACGGCCTGGGAGGTCGTGGTCGTTACTGCCGTGGTGGTGAAGTAGTGTTGCTGCTGGTATCTGGTGCTTCTCCTAGTTATGATGCCGTCGTCGTCGTCGTCGCGGTTGTAGTTGTAGTTGTCGTCGGGGTCGGGGTCCTGGGGAGGTCAAAGGAGAGGGTAGGGTGGGAGTAGGCAGGGTGTGGGGTGCAGGGAGGGGTGGGGAGTGTGGGTAGGGCTGGGAGAGGGGTTGGGTCGGGGTATGGGCAGTGGCACCGCTGTTAGCAGGTAGCAGTCGTAGCAGCAGTAGTGGAGCGGTAGTCACAGCAACAGCGAAAGGCGAACCTGAAGACAAGGGATTGGGTGGCCTGATCATGCTATTGCACATATGCAGGGACTATAAGAATTGTCCCGGGGCGTAAAAATCTGGTGGCCCCTGGACTCCGCCGCACGGTAGAGATTGAGGGTTATAGGAAGCGCTACCACGCCAGCGGTAGGGACATCAGGGGCGAGTGATGGTGCTGCTGGTGGCGGCCATGCTGGTGCTGTCGAAGTCCGAGTCCTAGTCCGCGACAGCGGTCGAGGTAGCAGTAGCAGAACAAAATCTCGTCCTCTAGTTTTAGTGGTCGTAGACGCTGCAGTACGTGGTAAAGTGGTAGTGATGCTAGTAGTGGCAATACTGATGGTAATAGCAATGGCAGTAGTAACAGGAGTAGTAGTAGTAGTCGTAGTCGTAGTCGTAGTCGTAGTCGTAGTCGTAGTCGTAGTCGTAGTAGTAGTCGTAGTAGTAGTAGTAGTAGTAGTAGTAGTAGTAGTAGTAGTAGTAGTAGTAGTAGTTAGTAGTAGTTAGTAGTAGTTAGTAGTAGTTAGTAGTAGTTAGTAGTAGTAGTAGTAGTAGTAGTAGTAGTAGTAGTAGTAGTAGTAGTAGTAGTAGTAGTAGTAGTAGTAGTAGTAGTAGTAGTAGTAGTAGTAGTAGTAGTAGTGTAGTAGTAGTAGTAGTAGTAGTAGTAGTACAGTAGTAGTAGTAGTAGTAGTAGTAGTAGTAGTAGTAGTAGTAGGAGTAGTAGTAGTAGTGGCAGTAGCAGCAGTACTACCACGGCTGCTGCTACTGCTACTGCTACTACTACTGCTGCTGCTGCTGCTACTACTACTACTACTACTGCTACCACTACCAGTACCAGTAGTACTAATAAGCAATAGCAAGTCTAATGGAAGTTCAAGCAGGGAAAGCCGCCGTAGCAGTAGGAGTTGCAGCAGCAGCTAGTAGCGGTAACAGTAGCGGCACGAGTGCTACCTCTGCAGCAATCACAAAAAAATGTGCTTGGAACTAAAACTGCCCAGGGAGAACGCCCGAAGAATAGGGCTGGGGGGAAGGGGGAGGCAGACGACTATATCACCATACTGCTATGAATATGAAGGAAACTCTCGGACTCGTCTTTCCTGCAGCTGAGAGTATGTATTCAAGATGCTGTTCATGAGCTTGGGTGGTTTGCGCTGATCATGACAGATAAAGCCCAAAGGGTCCAAGTAATAGTGTGGTAATTTACTTTTTGGGCCCTTAAACCCTTAACCATACTAGAACCCTAAACCCCTAAACCCTAAACCCCCTGGACCCTTCGGGAAGATGCGGGTGCGGCTGCGATCTTTCAGGGCATGATGAGCATTGCCTCCCACGGGGTCAGCTGGCGCCAAACCTCAATCAATGGCATGGGCTGACACGGACACGTGAAGTCTTTGGTCCACATCGGAGTTTCCGAAAAGTAGGGGTACCTCTTTTTTTGGGGTGCTTATACTCCTACTATCTAGGGTACTATATTACACTAGGGTCCCCTACTTTCGGAATAACCTTGCTGACTAAGTCCCGTGATCCTCCAAGTAGGTGTGCATTTGTCATACCGTAAACCCTAAACCGTAAACCCCCAAACCCCTTTTTTACACTAAACCCCAAACCCTAATAATTCTAGATCCCTTTAAAGGAACCCTTATAGTACCCTTTAGAGGAACCCTTATAGTACCCTTTAAAGGAACCCTACATCTTAACGTCAGCCATCCTGCAGGTGGTGCCGGGCGCATCCATGCGAGCAGCCATGGCCGCAGCCGAGATCGAAACCCAAAGAGTGCTATGTATCTATATAAGGTGTAGTTAGGTTTTTGTTTGGGTTTAGGGTTCTTTTCAGGGTTCTTATGTTGCCGTATAATAGCATGTGATGTTTCTATATTAGGAATTGCTAGTATGGTTTGGGGAAATATCCCCCATAACAGTATGTACCTACGACCCCTTTGGGTTCTCTGGGCTGACCGGGATGCCCAAAAGACTAGTGGGTACGGTTGATGATAAAATCCAGGAATAAAAAGGGTGCCCTTTTTGGTTTAAAGGGGGTTATAAGGGAACCTAAGCCCTAAAAAAGGGAATAAGGGCCTACTCTGGGTCCTAGACCCAAAGTAAACAATATACCATAAATCCCATAGTTTAAGGCCATTGAGGTAATGCTGGGTATAAATCATCAACCGTATGACGGCTTACGGGTAGGGGAGGCTGGAGTTGGTTGCTGAGAGCAAGATTTTCGGGGGGATCTGGGTTGGGGCACGTAGAGGAGCCGGCTGCGTGCTGACGGGTTCTAGGGATACCGTGCTTTTAAAAGAAGCTTCCATCGCTGCAGTGTCCCGAAGTGCCATGCTGCACTGAGGGTTCTCGGTGTTTTTTACACACAACACTGACGCTGTCCCCTTGATCCATGCGGCATCGGATTTAGGGTACGTAACACGTACAACACCTGGAAAGCGGTGCTGAAGCGCTGATGTGAATCTCCTACATTAACTCCCGAAACTAGATCAGCCTTCATAGGGCTTAGGGTTCAACCCTAGGTGTGAATACTGGGAACCTCGTGCCGACAAGTAAACAAGAATACCAGGATCATTCTAAAGAAAGAACTGGTGGCTAAGGTACCTAGCACCATCATATACATGTTCACTAACAAAGCAAAAGGGCGCTCGCCTAAAACCTCTTCAGCACGGACTGAGGTGCCGGCCAGCGCCCACGAAACTGGCCTAAACCCTGCTTACTAACAAAGCAAAGGGGCGCTCGTGCCACTGGACCATGCAATGTTCTGCGGCCACCTCTTTGATCTGTGCTCCTTGGCTGGAGGATACACTGGGTGTAGGGTTTGTGGTGTGCGGTGTGGGGTGTAGGGTTTTGCAGCATAGGGGCTGGGTGCCCTAGGCCAGAAAGCTTAAGCAAGTTTTTGACGATGGTAGGAGTTTATGGTGACCTACTCAGCCTGAACACCTCCCAAGCAATAGTCATTGCATCTGTTGGGTATGAGAGTTTCACAGACAAGTCGCGGAATGAGCAGGGTCACGACCATGGAAACATGACTTTTGGGCCCAGGGTCGTTGTCAAGACATCAAGGCACACATATTTTGACTTTGAAGATGGGAGTTTCCGAAAATAGGGGACCCTTATATATAGTACCCTATATAGTAGGATCCTTATTATACGGACCCCAAAATAAGGTACCCCCAATTTCCGGAAACTCCCATATTGCAAAAGCTGAACCAGAAACCTTAGCTACCATGCAACACTGCTATTGAATGTAGTGATTCTCCGACACCTCCCAACAACCGAACCCTTGCTGAAATCTAGAGCTTTACAGCCGAAAATGGCCGAGACCGTTGCGAAGGTCTTGCGACTTCGGCTTTAAGCCTTCCAAACCCTCAGCCCTAAGCCATACCCGACACACTTAATGGACTTGTGGAGTAGTATAGGGGCCTGCATAGTTAGACTACGGATTGATTTCTTTGGAAGGGGGTTGGCAAGTTGTTTTGGGCTGGATACTGTGGATAGATCAGGTAACCTGAAGGACTAGCATTACTAACTATTCAGGCCCTATTCTGCAGTAAACTTGAAAACTTGAACCCAACCCACAACCCTAAAACCCTCAACCCTAAACCCGTAGCCCGTAAACCCCTAAAACCCTAAACCCCAAACCCCTCTCTCCCTCAAACCCTAAACCCTAAACCCCTGAAGCCTCGCCCCTAAAACTTCAACCCTCAACCTTGATGGGAGTTAGGATTAGGGGGACCCTAGGGGATATAGACCCTCTCAATAAGGCCCCTTTTAAGAGAGCCAGAAGTAGGGTTCAGAAGGGGTACCCTTTAAGGGGTCTCCCTAATAATACTACCTACTTGAGGGCCGTAGTAGCTGGTCCAAGGCTCGGAACCAGCGGCCGTTCCGGGGGTATTCGGCCCAGACTTCGGCGCCAACTTCGAAGCGGTCCTTCGAGTCTTGGGGGCTTGTTCTAAGATGGTAATTTGGGTTTTGACGGTTTTGGGTTTAGGGATGGAACAGGCTTGTTTTCTTAAAGGGTGGCAAGAACGGTTCTTTTTAGGAACGTAGGGTTTCGGGTTTTAGAGTTTAGGGGTCAAGGGGTTATTGCAGCACGCTGTTCAGATGTAACCTGTCCTACAACTGCGAGACTGAGAGACCTTCGCACCTACCCATAGCTACACGTTTAGCTACACATGTGCCTTCTAGCCCAAAGGGTCCATATATACTACCGTTATGGAATTATGCACCAAAAGACAATCCGCCATATGTGTTTTGGGCCCTAATTGAACCTACGACGCAGGATTTCGGGGAATTGGCGTGTAATTGGAGTTTCGTGTTTTACGCTTGGGATGTAGGGCTCTGCCAGCGCTTCAGGCTACTTCAGTATACGGCGAGGTAGAATTCTGGAATCGAGAAGTAGCTGCCGTCTCACCTGCGTTGAATCAGAATACCTATACCCGTGGGCCTTCCTCGAGAAAGTCACCAAAGACTAGTTCCTAAACCCTGATTTCCACACCCCGAGGGTCCATGTACCCAAATAGCACACACTCAAACCCTAAAACCCTGACCTCTAACCCTAAACCCAAAGCCGCAAAGTGCAAAGCCATCCTCTTGGTCAGGTTAGACGCCCGAATTTAAAAACTCAGTACCTGCAAACCTTGAGCTGCTGCGATCCGTAAGCCTGAGATAATCAATCTCGACCCAATTATTCAATCCGCCGCATTAGCCTTAACAAAACCTATTCTTGATCGTCGCCACTATTTTCAAAACATGTTAGGAACCGAGAACCACAACCCCCAAAATTGCAGGCAACGTTAACAAAGCAAAACCGGAGAACCTGTGCTTTCCAACACCATGCCAAGAAAAACTGCATGCCTGAAGGCTGCACCAAGGTTTGAGCAAGGCGCGACAAACGGCTCCCCCAAAGGTAGAACGATGGCCTTCCTTGGAGCGACATGACAGCAATCTCAAAGGAGCTACTTCACAGTAGCAAAGATACTGCCAGCTGCACTATGCTTATCTCTATGTCTTAGTCACCGGCACCGAGGTGATGGCATGAGCAGTGGTGGTGGTGGTGGTGGTGGTGGTGGTGGTGGTGGTGGTAAATAGTAGTAGTCGTGGCAGTGTAATTAGTGGCAAAGGCAAAGGTAGAGGAGGTAGTGTAGTCGTCGTGGTAGTAGTAGTAGTAGTAGTAGTAGTAGTAGTAGTAGTAGTAGTAGTCGTGGTCATGGCAGTGGCAGGCATTGGTCTTGGTGGTCGTGCTGGTGGCGGCGGCGGTGCTTGTGATGTGGCAGCGGTAGTATCGGCAACAGCACCGGGGCTGTGCTGCCGGTGGTGCCGATGTCGTTGCAGATGTCATTGTTGCTGGTTGTTGCTGTTGCTGTTGGTGGTGGCGGCAGTGGTGCGGTGGCGGCGGTGGGGTAGTGATCTTGCTGCTGCTACGTACTGCTGCTGCAAACAATGCTGCAAGTGTTGCATAGCCACTCAGCCGTGTTCTGTCGTACGTGCACAAACGAGCGGCGGAAGCAACCTGAGACCCTGGACCGCTTGACTGGCTCCGAAGGCCCCAAGCACTCTTGAAAGCCCAGAATACCTTGAAGACCACCCTGAACCCTAAACCACCAAACCCTGAACCCCTAACCCCTCCCTATGATGAAAGCTGTTTAGAAGCCGTGGTTACTATAATGAATACTGGGACCAAAGCTAGCTTACCTGTTGTCCCCTTGCTACTATTTGTACCCCTTTTCTTGGCATTCCTTTTCTAATGGAACCCTGAGATAAAAAGGGCTGAAGAGTACTACTGGGAAACCTAGTTGAAGAACCACCTTTAAAACCCAAACCCTGAAGCAACACAGCCCGAAACTCGGCGAACCAGCTCCGAAAACAACCACGACAAGAATGATATCTAAACACAACCATGCGGGAGCCCAAAAGCCGAAACCCTGCACAGTTTAGGGTGAAGGAGTCCTTGGGTTGTTGCTTGGCGCGCGCAACTTGGTAGGACCCGGAGAGGCTTGAGAATAGGGTTTAGGTCCACCCCGAACCCTGCAATCTCTCCCCCAAAAATTCGAAACGTCAAGCCGGACTGCGAAAATAACTAAAACTCCCGAAGCCTTGACTCCCTAAACCCCAAACCCTGAACTAAACCCCTAACCCGAAACCCCAGACTCTGACCGCCAAAGCCTGCAGGAAACCCCGAAACCCCGCCCCCGAAGCTCCAGACTCCAGAACCTGAATTGGGCTCATGGTTGGGCCAGGGTTAAAAATTTAGATTTCTATTCCTTTTTGGGTGTAAATACCCATAAAAATATAAAATGTTACCCAACTATGACAAAGGTTGAATTGAGCTGGGCCACCACCACTCCAAGAGCTCTTGAATCTTCGAGCGGACAGCCTCTGTGCCAACGAGGGCTTCTGGATTTATGTAGGAACCTGATGAAGAAACCCTGGGTCTTAATTTAAAAGGGTTCCTTATATGAATCCTACTATTTGGGGGGTTATAGTAGGGCCAGGGTTTCTTAACCAGGTTCCTACACTAGGGCAAAGCCCTTTGCCACTTTTTCGCGCACCGGTCCAGCTGCAAGAGGTTACAATCATTCCCCTATGAGGCCCTAGACCCCTAAACCACAAAACTAAATCTTTTGATCCTGAACCCTAAACGGGAAAGCCTACAACCCGAATTCCCGACTCTATTAAACCCAACTAAAAACCCTCATAAAATCTCATAAAGTTCCTCAACACTCGTTCTGTACTTATAGCAACCCCTGACTCTCTGAAGCCTAGCTCCAGCCTTGTGGGTGTTGCTGCTCATGCGCACCGGCACCTCTGTGAAATCGATCCTTAAGCTCGTAGCCGAGCAGAAGCGCGCGGCTGAGGGCTTTGAGGCACTTGTGGGACGTCAGCTTCAGATGTGACTCCTACCTTCGTACACTTCTCGTTGTGTGCGTGTCATCCATAGGCATGCTAATCTTGTCTGCACCAGCTCTGCTCCCAAGAACCGACTTGTCTCATATAGAGGCTACTCTGGGAAAGCAAGGTGCCCGCATACTTGGAGGATCATGAGACTTAGTAAGTAAGGTTATAAGTACCTTAACTGGGGTTATATGTAGTTATAAGTATAGCTAATCTAATTACAACACCACTTACTAAGTCCCATGATCCTTTAAGTTCCCTCTTTACCCTAAACCACAGTGTTCCAGAACTGAGAACGAGCGGCGATGTGATGGGAACCCGGAAAAATCCCTATTTCCTGCCTGAATCCCAAAAAACCTACCTTTTTAAGGACTTGAAAAACAAGAACTCATCGATAGGGAACCCTACAAAAGGTGGGTTCTTTAGGGTCCAGGTGAACCCTTAACGGCCTTCGGGATTGAACTTGCCAAGTTTTTGCAGGCAAGGGGGCGCTGCAGCTGACATCATTAGCAGCACCTGGGTGGTAAACCAACTGTGCTAGGTTGGAATTTTAGGTAGGGATAGAGGTATCACTAGAAGCGCGGTTTGACAAGCACTTGCGGGAAGAGCTACTTTCGTGAGAGCCAGCAAAGACACAGAATGCAAACACGCCGAGAAGGACGTATACTTCCTCAACACTCAACCCCAAATGTTCAACCGCAAGCCCTCATAGTCCTCTTCTAAGATTCACCTTGAAATGGGAGGCTCCTTCCCTGAGGTTTCAGACTGCAAGGGGTTTGGGGGATCCTTTGGCGCAAAGACAAATTTCGACACATGCCAAAGGCTTCAGCTGAAAGATGTTCTGAGATTTGCTCGTAGATGTGCATAGAGAGCTACGGATGTATATCGGTATGTATGTAGGCTTGATGGGTGGGAGGTTGGATCGGGAGTGGGAGGAAGGCGTGTGCATCTGCATGTGTATATATATATATATACATATGTAATTATTATACTTCTGGGAAGTGTGTGTGTATATATATATATACGCATGTAAGTAGATAGAGATGTTGTAAACGAGGACGAGGCAAACCAGCCTGAAAGTCTGGCAGTCCCACGCAAAGCGATCAATAAAGTGAGGTGAGGTTAGGGCTGAAGAACTAAGCAAGAAGCTTAGTTTCTTGTTGCACGACCATCTACAAGTGCCCATTTTGACCACAGTGTAGGAATCCCCTGCCAGCGGACTCAAGGATTTCAGTTCAAGGCTTTCAGGCTTAGATATTGAAGTTCAGGATTTAGAGCTCAAGATTTACAAGCTTGCGGTTTCAGATTAAGGTTGAAGAGGTTACCCGGTCCAATTGCCTAGATTTTCAAATCCATATATAAGCCCTTTAGAGAGGTGGGTTATTCGGCTGTTCAGGTGTGTGCTGAGAGCCAGACCCATTGAAGGTCTTGGTTGACAGCTGCAAGTTCTGGCGCGAAGGGCAGAACAGGAAAGTGGACTTGGGAAGCCATGGATATGGCTGCATTTTACTAATTCACGAAGCTCGACGCCTAAGCCAAAAACACAACTGCTGGCATCTCTAGTGCTGCGTATTTGCACCAGCTGTGTTATTGCGTGAGGGTTTGTTCTTTGTGTATAGCCACATAGCCAGTATGTGTTTCACGAGAAGGATACATCAAGATGCATGCGGCACGGTAGGGAACAAGACTCATGTGAAAACAGAACATCTAAGGCTCTTCGGTTAGTGTATTTAGGATATCATTTAAAAAAGTTGCATTCAAGGCCGTGCAGAAGCGACTTCGGGTTCTGCAAGGATTGAAAGTGCGCTCTGCTTCCGGATGCTGAAAACCCCTGGCTCGAAATCCGATGCCTGAAGCCTACCCAGAGGCTCCATAGTAGTTCCTTTTTGGGATTACCTTATAGGATTCTATATATGAACCCCAAAACGGGAACTACTTTGGAGCCTCAGGGTAGACATACCAGTAAATGAAACCTCGTGCCCCAATGTAAGAGTAGTCCATTCCAGTAAAGGTAAATGGTATATTAAGGAAGAAGGAGTCTGCTCACTTGTGCCTCGTCTGTAAGACCACCTGCCTGCTAGAGAGAGAGAGAGAGAGAGAGAGAGAGAGAGAGAGAGAGAGAGAGAGAGAGAGAGAGAGAGAGAGAGAGAGAGATAGAGCGAGCGAGCGAGCGAGCGAGGAGAGGGAAGTTCGAGGGAGGGCGGGACAGAGCGCCTACTTGTCGGGTATCATGGGGAACTAAAGGCTAACCTTTTTGGTTATATTATATAGGGATTATATAGGGACTATACTACCCCAAAAAGGTTAAAGGTTAACTACTCTACTACTAGGAGCGACAGTCAGAGAAAGATCAGCTCTGCCATGACCAAATTCGCAGGCGCCTGAGGACTTCGGAACTGTCGCCGCAGATCTTTCTGCCACATCCTTATTCGGCCAAACCCAACTGGTTCTGTGTACTGTTATGGGGAATACCTCCCCAAATCATAATAGTCATTCCTGATATAGAAACCCTACATTCTACTATATCGGTACTTTGGACCCTTTGGGAAAGAGGTATCCGGGGGTACCGCGTAGACCCTAAGCCCTAAGAGCACAAGAAGCGCCTGGGCAAGTTGACCGCGGGACATTGGCAAGCCGTCAGAAGACACAAGGACAAGGGTTTAGGGGTTTAGAGTTTTTGGCGGTAAAGCTAAGGCTGAGTTCCAGAACACCTCAGTTGCGAGCCTAAACCCTAAAACCCTATAGTAGAAGCCAGAAAGTCGGAAACATGGCTTTAGGAGGATTCGTGCTAGGATCCCTTTCTACTTTACCTTAAGGGCATGGGGATGATGATGTTCCAACCTTCTGGCTTCTATCATAAACCTCTGTGACCAGGCTCCTAGGATTCGATAGGTCGTCTAAAGCAATCGAAGACTCCCCAGGTTTCCCTGGACCCTAAGAAGCCTACCTTGTTAGGGTTCCTAGCTATGGTTTCCTTATATGAGTCTTTGCAAAGGTGTGGTATTCAGGGTTAAAGGTAGTGGTTAGGGATTCTTTCTTGAAGTTCTCCAACACTTTTGGCCTGCAAGTGGCTCAAACCCCCTGCCAGTGCTGGGCATCCTGGTATGGTATACCTGGTCATAAGCCCCGTATGATTTCGGCGCGGTTTCTGTAGGGACCTTCAGACTTAGACGAGGCTTCTGGTATACCCTGAATCCGTACCTGGATCCTAAATAACCTACCTTTTTAAGGACTTATATAAGGACTTCATAACAGGGAACCCTAAAAAGGTAGGTTCTTTAGGGTCCAGGCAACCCTAAGCCCCTGAACCTGAACCTGAACCCTTTTTGCATCAGGACTTGTGGGATCGCCTGCACCTCTGAACCCAAGACCGCTAAACCCCTTAAAAGGCTTACTGTAGGGGTTTAGGGGTAGGGGTTTAGGGATTTAGGGTTAAGGGATCCTAAACCCCCAAACCCTAAAAGTTTTAGGGGTTTATGATATGGGTTTAGGGTTTAGGGATCCTAAACCCCCAAACCCTACACCCCTAACCCCAAAACCGAAGCCCCTAAACCCGAAGCCATGCTCTCAAATGCTGCAGACCCAGCGTCCGACAGAAGCAGCAGGAGGGAGTCCATCACCACCTCGTTTTCGGGTCCGGGCCCTAAAAAGAACCTATAAATTTAGTTCCTGAGTTCACACGCCCCGAAAGTTTATACTTTCAGTTATATAGGGGACGACATTCTCCTAAAACGTGTGCGTGCGCGCACCCAACTACTATACACAAACTTCCCTTAACCCCAACCCTAACCGCTGAAAGTCGTCCCATAGTCTTGAGTAGCAGGTGCTTGGATCATATGATGCTAGGTACTGCTGCCGGTTGATGCTTGAAGAGTCTACGGTTTGGGCTTTTTGGCTCTAGATTTAAGCGCAGGTCGCGATTTTGATAGAAGCCCATACTTCGCCCCTAAGCCCCACAGTAGAAGCCAGAAAGTTGGAACATGGATTTAGGAGGATTATAATGCTAGGATCCCTTATACTTTACTTTAAGGGCATGCGGATAATGATGTTCCAACTTTCTGGCTTCTACCTTAGGTACGGCCCCCTTACAGTAAGAGTCTATAATAGGGCTACTATTAAGGTCCTAATATAACTATATTGTGAATATTGTTCAACTATTACTGAGTGGGGGCCGTACCTAACTTCTACCGTACATTAACCCACCCAAGGTTGCGCTGAAAACCCGCCTTGTCGGTCATGGTCTTTGGGGTTAGGGGTTTAGGGGTTCAGGGGTTAGGGGTTTAGGGGTTTAGGGTTTAGGGTTTAGGGGGTTTAGGGGTTTAGGGTTTAGGGGTTAGGGGTTTAGGGGTTTAGGGTTTTAGGGTTTTAGGGTTTAGGGGGTTTAGGGGTTTAGGGTTTAGGGGTTTCGGGTTGCGTGTACCATTGCCAGGAGACTTGGCTACTGTAGCTGAGCCGTAAGCCGGCAAACCCTGAACCCCAATCTCCAAGCAAGGATTTACAACATCCGGTCTGCTACAACATCTTCATCCTCTACTACTCGGAAACCCGAGCCAAACCAAATTTGAACCCGGAACCCGAATCCGTAGCTGAATCACACAGGGTCCGTCACCTTCACAACTGGCTTCGCCCAACAGTCTGAAGCGAGCATGGTGCTGTGGCTTCATATATGGTTCCACACATAAAGGAAGTGCTAATTCTTCCATACGTGTTCGTTTGACGACTTATTTATTTGGGCCGATATTAATATTACCGACTCTGGGAAGGTCGTTTGCATCCTGGTGCAGCAAACGCCACACACCTCGAAACTATAGAACCCCGAAGAGGACTAACCTGCTACACCAACCAAGCCAAATCAAAAAAACCTATACTGAACTTAGAACCCTAGCAAAAATCATAATTTTAGCTGTTTCTTAGGGATTACAATAACAAAAAAATTCTAAGTAATTACCCCTAAGAAACCTGTAGCCCTGTAGAAACCTCTGTGTAAGCTCTGTAGAAGAACTCTAATCTAATGCCGCATTCCTAATGCCCCACAAGCAGAAAAGTCCGAAACTTCGTGTTGAGCGTAGGTTGAGTTTCTCCGGCTATCAACCTGACGACAAGGTTCATGAAGGTTAGCGCGCCAAAACTTCTGATTTTGCTTCTATCGACTGCGTGATTGCGAACAAGTTCGACCCTAAACCCTAGACCCTTAACCCCTAAACTCAACCCTAAATTGCAGCAGAGATGCAGGCGTGGCATCCTCAGCGGCTCGGCACACTTACGAATCCCAAAGGGTCCTAAGGACCTATGTAGTTGAAAAGGTGTCTATAGTATCAGGAATTACCATTATGATTTGGGAAAGTAGCCTCCGTAACAACACCTAGGAGCCTCTAAGCTGCAACGTGGCGTCGAACTGGTTTGGGGTAGGTAGTGGGCTTCTACACCTTACATCGGGGATGTGCGAAGAGCTTGGGCGACTTTCGCTGTTGCTGTTTTGGTTTAGGGTTCAGAATTTGGGGTTTAGAGTTTAGTTTAGGGTTTAGGGTTTACGGCTAATCGTTGCTATGGAATCGTAATTGCCAGGTTCGTGGACCTGGGATTAGTGATCTTTGCTATTCAGGATGTCGTCTCGCAGGATTCCGCTCCCTCCTTAGGGTCTTCGGGAAGACGGCGGCGGGAAAATAGGGAAACGAATTGTAGGACCTACCCTAAGGCCCCAAAGTAGTTCCTTTTTGGGATTACCTTATAGAATACTATTTATGAACCCCAAAAACTAGACCCAAGAGTAAGCTAGGAATAAAAAGGGTGCCCTTTTTGGTTTAAAGGGGCTTATAAGGGAACCTAAACCCTCAAAAAAGGGAATAAGGGCCTACTCTGGGTCCTAGAAAAGGAACTATGGAGCCTCAGGGTAGTGCCCTACAACTCTTATCTTCAGCTCGGACTTGTGCCGGTTAGGGCGGGGCAGTCTGCGACTACTTGGAGGCCCTTTTGACTTAGTAAGTAGGGGTTCCTTTAAAGGGGTTCCTAAAAGGGATCTATAGGGGTTCCTTAAAGGAATCTATAGGGTTTAGGGCTTCTTACTTGGAGGCCCTTTTGACTTAGTAAGTAGCGTTAGTAAGGTGGGCTATGGGGATTATAATGGGGTTTCTAGGGGGATACTAAGTAGACTTACTAAGTCAACAGGGCCTCCAAGTAGGTTTTAGGGTACACCGGTTTGCAGCTCAGGAATCTGTTTGGGATTCCGGGTCGAGGTTTCAAGGCTTCGGATATTTCCGACACCTAACGCCTGTGGACGCTGCAGTTTAGGGTAAACGCAAAGTGCATTTGAGCAGATTACGTTGGTGGTGTTGGTAGTGCGGGCGACAAGTTCGTGACCGTAGATCATGGTTATACACGCATATACTTCTAGGCAGAGATCACAGCATGAAGGCGTCCATGCCGCAGATGTGTGAAAGCAACCACATGTGCTCGATTGAACCTGAACTTGCATTCTTCCTCTCGCTCTCTCTCTCTCTCTCTCTCTCTCTCTCTCTTTTTTTCTCTCTCCCTCTCTCTCTCTCTCTATCTCTCTCTCCTGTCATCCTCAAGTGAACTTGCATTGCTTCCTGTGAATGTCCTAGCCCGGAACCCTTAACCGCCAAGAAAAATACTGGGGCCCTACTCGTCAGCCAAGCGACTGATGCCTGCGCCAATAGCAATCGCAGTGGCACAGCCAGGGAAATGTCTGCACCTCGTGTGAAGTACGATAGGGGCCTCAATGATTTCAATAGGGTCCCTCGTAAGGGCTCAGAGCTATTTGAGTTCTATCACACGGCTGTACATGCGGAATAGCGGCCGGGATTGTTTCAACGGAGCTTCATCCGAGTGACCAAGCTACAATTACAATGCATGATACCTACCTTTTGTTGGCTTGCGGGGTTGGGGTTTGGGTACCTTTTAGGGAATTTAGGGGTGCGTACATAGGAGTACAGGAAAGCAAATTTTAGGATCAGATAGGGTAGAACATGATAGGATTACGGAAGGGCGTAGGGGTGTAGAGGAGTATAGGATTATAGGGAGTCTCGGCCTGGGGTTTAGGTATGGGTTGACTGGAGATCCTGGGATCGAGTAGGATCCACAAGCTCACCTGCACCAAAGTCAAAGCACTACCTTCGCATATTTGTGGCAAACATGTACCACCCCAACATGGCCTAAGCTAGGTTTGACCTGACCTTGATCCGTCCTCCTCCTACACCATGCCAACTTCACGAATCGCCGGCAGCGCTTAGTAGGGTTAAGTGTGAAAGCTGTACCATGTAAAATGAACACGTCAAACCCAGCCGCCCATGAACCTTCAAGAAGCCCCCACCCCCCCGTCCGTCTGAGGTCCCGGTCATGCTCAAACGCTGTTTTCCGGACGGGGATGGAGGAAGGTTCAGGACAAGAGCCAGGGCTTGAGGGCTCCCCTCTAAAGCTGGAAACGGTTTAGGGTTTAGGGTTTAGGGTTTAGGGTGCGTGGCTTGGGATGAACCTCACCACCTCGATCGGGAACAAATCGAAGGAGAGCCCTTCTATATTTAGGCAATCCGAAGCCCGTGACAGCGGGGATCCTAAACCCTAAACCCTTAAACCCTGAACGGTGGATCAAGGTCTGGGATTGAGGTGCGCTGCGACTGCTGCCTCGCATTTTTATCGGGTTCGCGGGGCCCAAATGCTCACTATTAAGGCCCCCAGTACACCAATGCCGAGTCTCTTTCCAAGCTCTCCCGCTCTGGGTCGATGCTCGCAGCAATATAGATAGCTTTTCGCCCGACCTTCACTCAGGCATTTAAGGTTAGGGTTTAGGGTTTAGCTTTTCGACCGACCTTCACTCATGCATTTAGGGTTAGGGTGGGAACAGTCTAGGCTGAGAGTGCAGGATTCAGGTTTCGAGTTCGGAGTTAGGATACAATACTACTACCATCTTTCGGTTCCTACCTCCATGCTTCATGTTCGGAGGAGAATGCACACCAAGACACGAGCAAGCTGCCATCTGACCTACATGGTCCCAGAACCAGAACCTACCCACTGGAAGCTAAACCTTGCTAAACATGTGTCGGCTCCTTCCATGGATACATTAAACTACTAGGTGGGGCTTTTAAAGCTTTTGAAAAATATTAGTAAATAATAAGATCCTCTTAAGCCCAATAAGGGAAAATATAAAAATGCCCCCAAAGCCCTACCTAGACTACCATGTAGTCTCTGGCTACACCCTCATGCAGAATCTTTCAGGGCCTTCAAACCCTCCTAAGCACTAAAGCCTGAATCCCCAAGCACTAAGCCCTTAAAAGAACCGTAAATCCTGAACCTAGGCCCTACAGTAGAAGCCAGAAAGTTGGAATATCATTATCGTATATAACCCCTTTAAGGTAAGTTATAGGGGATCCTACCATTAATCCATATTCCAACTTTCTGGAGTTCCCCTATAGATTCCTTTAAAGGAACCCTTAAAGAAACTAGAACCCTTATAGATTCCTTTAAGGAAGGTCTGGGAACCGTAAATCCTGAACCTAGGCCCTAAACGCTAAATCCCTCAACTGCCCTAAACCTTCAAGGCGCTTACAGAAGCCCCAAACTTACCTTTGCTTAGTAGGGAAGGGGGGCTGGGACACAAATGGGGTTTAGGGTTTAGGGTTTAGGATTTAGGGTTTAGGGTTTAGGGTTTAGGATTTAGGGTTTAGGGTTTAGGGTTTAGGATTTAGGGTTTAGGGTTTCCATTACGCCATGCTTCCAATCCCTACTAACCAAAGGTAAGCAAAACCCAAAGGGTCCAAAGTACCTATATAGTAGAATGTAGGGTTTCTACCTTAAGAATTTCTACTATGATTTGGGGAAGTATCGCCCATAACAGAACCTAGGACCCTTTGGTAAAGGACCCTTATAGATCCCTTACAGTAACCCTTTATAAGGCCCCTTTCCATGGGTTTAGGGTCTAAAGGCACTGACCAAAGGTAAGCAAAAGGGATCCCGGACCTGAGAGCGGGTCAGCGCTCCGAGGTAGATATCCTCGGGTGGGGATCGGCAGAAGATTCGGCGTGCATTTGCTTTCCCAAAGGGTCCTATGTACTGTTATGGGGAATACCTCCCCAAATCATAATAGTAATTCCGAACATAGAAACCCTACATTCCACTATATCGGTACTTTGGACCCTTTGGGTTTAGGGGAGCAGAGTGTAAGGGTTTACGCTCTCGCAACTCGGACAAGCCTGACGAGGCCTTGAAAAGGACTTGTACAACCCTTAAGGGACGGTTGTGGAACCCGCTGATTCAAGCGAACCTCAAAGGGATCTTCGATTAATCTCTAGTGCTGTGTGCTTTGAGAGTTTAGGGATTTAGGGTGTAGGGGTTTAGGGTTTAAGGATATCCTCGGGTGGGGATCGGTAGAAGATCCGGGGTGCTTTTGGTTTCGGGGAGTAGGGTTCAGGGGCTTAGGGTTAAGGGGTTTCGGGGCTCACACTCGGACAATCCAGGCGGGGCATATGGTTCGGAGTCTGTTGAGTGAAAAGGGGTTTAGGGTTTAAGGTATTGAACACCTCTTTCCGACCACTGGCTTAGGAGTTTGGGTTCGGGGCTTTAGTAAGGGCGCCTGAAAGTACATCTTGCTTGGCTCTTCTCTTTCGTAATGTTCTTGATACAGAACGGATTCCAAGAAAGCTGCTACATTCGGGTCGAGGCAGTTCAAAAAAATGTTAAACCCTAAACCCTAAACCCCTAAACCCTAAACCCCTAAACCTCTAAACCCCTAAACCCCTAAACTCTAGATGTGTCGGAACTTTGCTTGGAGTTTGAGTTTACGTCTTGGAGAACACTGCGCCCACAATCCCACACCACCTTATGATCCCTAAGCCTTGCACAAATCTTGGCACGAAGCCAAAACCTCCCAAGCTGCAAACGCGAAGCACCGACACAACACTCAGAACCCAACACCTTGAACCCCAGCTCCGCAACATAAACTGTCTAAGGTTATCTGCCTAATGTACTGGTATAGGAACCTGAGTAAGAAACCCGGGCCCTATAACCCCACAAAAGTAGGATTCATATAAAGAACCCAAATAGAGGCCCAAGGTTTCTTAATCAGATTTCTACATTACATGCCCCGGTCAAAGAACTGAGAAGCTGAACCATCCGGCACAAATCCGTAGAATACCAAGATCAAAACGCCCTGTATCCTGCCAAGAACAAGTCGTAAATTGCTATAGAGACCTTAATGATTGGAATGCCGTTTTGGGGCATACGTACTGTAGGATCATTATATGTGGGACTTCTAAGGAATACTCTTACTCACTATAAGGCCCTAAACCCTAAAGCTCTAAAACTGGCAAGCATAGTGGCTATGGCGCGGCTGCGCAGGAGCGCTCGCAGGTGTCTGCCCTCAGGTCAACAATCCCTCCAGTGTTGGGGCATGGTCTACTTTAACCCTGAATAACCTACCTTTTCAGGGTTCCTTATTATGATTTCTTGTATAAGTCCTTAAAAAGCTAGGTTATTCGGGTTAAGGTATGCCTATGCTTTGAGACATGAGGGTTTAGCGGGGCTTCTGTTCTACATAGGTTCTGACTAATTAAGGTTCACAGGTCAGCTCAAGCTTAGGGTTTAGGGCCTAGCGTATGAAGTTTTACTGTAGGAGTTTCGGGCGCCAAAGGATGGCCTGATCTAGGGCTAGGGCCTTGCAAGACTTGACAACTTCCTACTTGTCGGGTATCACGGGGAACTAAAGGTTAACCTTTTCGGTTATAAAGGGATTATGTAGGGACTACACTACCCAAAAAAGGTTAAAGGTTACCTCCTCGACTGCTAGGACTTCAGAACAAGAAGACACGACCACTTTGTGAACTAGGGGCGGTAGGAATTTCGTTAGTTGGCTCCTCCATGCGGGGCGTCGGGTTCAGCCTGTTTTGGGCGTCCGCATTTGCAGATGAAGGTTTCGGCGTTGCTGGCCTGCTGGCTTCAGGGACTACAGAAGACTGAAACCCCACACCCTGAGCCCTAAACCCTAAACCCCTAAACTCTAAACTGAACTCTAAGACTTTTCTTGACAGCTTTTGTAATTGACGGCAACGCTTTTGCGAAGGCTCGTCGCCTTTCCAGCCCTTGACTCAGGAGCTTTGTATATGTGTAGCTGTGCATACAGACGTCCATCCATCCATTCATCCATCCATCCACCCATGCAAGAAACTCTTGGTTATGGATAATTATGATAGCCCTAAGGGCTACATGCCGTATCATCATCTGTTTTCGGCATTCTGGCGGGTTAAGCGCCGACGATTCGATAACCTCCACCCCCAACGCTTCGTCGCAGCTACCACACCGGGGTTCTCGCAGTTCTGATACCTGTCCTTCTTGGCCAGTACCCTGGGGAACTAAAGGTTAACCGTCGGAACTCTATTGGGATATAGTATATATAGATATAGAGGGAGCATCGTAGTACCCCCCCCAAAAAAGTTTACGTAAAGGTTACCTCCACTACTAGGATATTAGAGGAACGTTCACGCCCAACCCGACAGGCCCTCGCTCACTGCCGCTGGCGCGCTCCCAGCTTCACGTCTGCCTTGTCCTTCTCAACGCGCCGAAGCCACCGGACACCAATGCTCTTGGCCTTGTGCAAACGTGGCATTCGTCATAGGGTTTGAAGGCACAAGCTTTGGGAGTTTCCGAACATAGGGGACCCTGATATAATACCCTAAATAGTACGATCCTTATTGCAGGGACCCCAAAATAAGGTACCCCCAAATTTCGGAAACTCCCATTTCGAACCCCACAGAGGTTTCGCAAGCCTATCCTGCTCCCATAGCACCCTGGAAGGTGAACCCGGCCTTCAAGTCAACCGCAGACTTTAGAAGCTGCCCCCACCCTGTAATAGTGACTATAAGGATTATATGAATATTATATTAGGGCCCGATTATATTCCTATTATACCACTATTACAGGGTGGGGGCAGCTTCTAACGCAGACTGCAAAACATAGCGACATCGACAATTTTGTGAGTCGCAGCCTGGCAACTGCAGTACCTACAAAAGTCCACAACCCTGATAGTAGATACCGCCCTAAGGGTCCAAGTACCTAATAATCATGTTTTGGCTCCCACTTGGCTGATCCGATAATCATATACTCTTTTATATAATTTTGAGGTGCACTTCTCTATCCTAAGCCCAAGTACCCAATTATTTGGTTTTTTTGGACCCTAAGGGCTGTGCCTAGGACCCCACCCACTCTTTGCGGGCTCTCAGTACCAATTCCTCGGCGTTGATTTCCTGGAAGCTGGCTTTGATGCGGCAGGCCTTGCTCAGGGCTTCCGCCGTCACCCGAGAACGGTTAAGGGCCACGGTTTAGGGGTTTAGGGTTTAGGGTTTAGGGTTTAGGTTTTGGGCTTGGCTCATATAGGCGTCGTAGGCGACAATACGCCGATGCTTGCTTGAAATTGCTGGCTTCACGGTGTATCGGAAGATGATTATTCGTGTGCTCGTCCCAGCATGGATAGTAATTCGCATGCCTACCAGCAGTTCGAGGTGCAACGGCCAGCTGTTCCATTTCTGGATGGAAAGCTATGTTTCGCGAGGAGTTCTGATTTGCCGACAAATAATTCTAATGGGGGAAGTTTCGGACAGCGAACAACTGGCCCTCAATAAGAGGAATCAAGGTGGGCCCCTGAAAGCAGGCATAGAAAAGCCCGTACCATGCCTTACACAACCGCATCTATCAAAAGACTCACCTGCCCAAAGGGTCCTGTGTACTGTTATGGGGGATACTTCCCTAAGTCATTATAGTTATTCCCTAAACCCTAAACCCTAAACCCTAAATCCTAAACCCTAAACCCTAAACTCATTATAGTTATTCCTAATATGGAAACCCTACATTCTACTATATCGGTACATGGGACCCTTGGGGCTGTAGATCCCTGGAAAATGTCGGGTCTGAGGAGCTTCTGGGGCTCTCCCTGATTGGCTCTTGGATTCCTACTTCCCCTAAATACCCATAGGCTTCAAACCGCAGACTTTGAGAATGAGACTACCACACAAAAGCCCCAAAAGTTGAAAAGTTTGGGTTTTGGACCAAGAAGTCTGAGTCTTGGCTGCTTGAAGATCTTGGGCTGCGAGAGTCTGTTGTCTGCACAGGCAAATCCTACAATCCTGTTGCAATCGTCTGGGCCCCCTTCATAAGCTGCTCGGCTGTGAATTCTTCGAGGGCTTGGGAAGAACGGAACGCCGCCAAAAAAACAAAAGCCCCTTTACGAACCCTACGCAGCCCTTATGGAGCTCTCCAGAAACCCTGATCCTAAACCCTAAACCCCAAACCCAGAGAACCCAATACCCCTTAATTAAGGAATATGGCTTAAATTATATAGGGTTTCATATTATGATTTAAGCCATATTCCTTATTAAGGGGTATTGGGCTCTCTGGACCCCTACCCTAAACTCTGTAAGCCCCAAGCCAAAAACCGCAGGACCCGAACCGCCCCCGTCCCATTGCCTCGTGCTCAAAGCATTTGACCAACTCCTGTGCAAGCAGCTGGCTCATTGGGTATCGGGTTTGTTCGACGGTTCGTCGGAAGGTGTAAAGTCTATGAAAACTTCTGTCGGGTCGGTGAAGTTTTATTGGGTTCACAAGCTGTTATCGTAGCTGTCTTCTGGTTGCAGTAAGTGTACCCGACCCGGATTAGTGCTAGCCGTTGATTCTGTGCCACGGCGCCTGCAAGACCGCCAGCTGAAGACATCGAAGCTTACCAGGAAGTTGGTGTCTACATGATTAGATCGGGCCAATGCTCTGAGGAGCTTCTCTGGGCAGTTATACAGTAAGACTATATGCAACACCCGAATAACACCCGAATCCCCCCCAAAGACTCATGGCAACAGCCTCGAGGCTTTAGCATTTTTTGAGACTGAAGAAACAAAGGAAAAGGAGTCTAGACCCAAGAGTAAGCTAGGAATAAAAAGGGTGCCCTTTTTGGTTTAAAGGGGCTTATAAGGGAACCTAAACCCTCAAAAAAAGGGAATAAGGGCCTACTCTGGGTCCTAGGAGTAAACCCTAAATAAGGACCCTGAACTCAGCGGAGCGACAAAATCGAAGGAGCTCAGGAGCGGAAAAGGAGGATTGTCATCGGGGGCTTCGAGAGACTAATTGGAAGATGATGGTATATTTATTTACTAGGTTGGCCCTTCAAAGCCTCTGAAAAATATTCGTACATAGGGTCCTATTATGCCCAATAAGGGAAAATATAAAATGTCCCAAAGGCCTACCTAGTTTACAATAAGGAAACCTAAGGAATAATCATGGTAATTGTTGAGGCTTCTACAGTAGGGAGCTTCGAAAGACTGGGGCTAGGCTCCATGGTTTGAGGATCCTGATACCAAGTAGCCGATTATGCAGCCTTTCCGTCAGGAGCCACTTAGCTTTTTTCTTTTATTACTCGTTCGTGGAGTAATGGATACTCTTGTGCTACGACGGTATGCACAAAGATAATGTATACTCACTGGCCCAACACCCAAGGAACAAAAGTTGCAACTTTCAGAATCGACTACCTTATAACATGCCCAATAGTTGAAAAGTTGAGATTATCTGTGTAACAGGTTTTGGAGGTATTTTATGGCGTTCGTACTTGCTGAGGTCTGTATAGTTCACCATGCAGGCGTTTTGGAGCAGTGTGTGAAGAGTATGCATGAGGTTTCAAGGTATGCGCTGTGGTTCTATGCGAAGTTCGGGGGCCAGGTGCAAGGCATACCTGTTGCTTCATGAACTGCTCATAGGCTTGTTGGCTGATCCGGATGCTAGTAGCTGCCTCGTCTGTCCACTTGTCCTCCTCGGGGTTCAGCTCAGAGGCGAGCCTTGCGTGAGCTGTTGATGTGGAGTATTGCATGTGCCGAGGTTTTCTGGGACGCTGCGGAGTTAACTACAGACGTGACTACACGGTACGTACAAGCATACAGCATGTTAACCAACATGTACCTAGACCAAATCTTGAGAAGTATGGCGTTGAGGATCGTAGCGGTTTGTGCTTTCGGCGATGTTAGATCCAGGACCGGAAGCAGGGAACTGAAGTGCTGACAAAGACAGGAGCGATTGGCACAGCCCCACGTGTGATTGGAGCTGTAAGCTTGAACTGCGGACGTCAAGCATGAGCTTATTAAAAAACAAGAAGAGGTAGGTTCCGGGGTAATATATATTTCACAGTAGTTATAAGTTATAAGAAGCAACCCCCAGATAGCTTTGGCGAATACTCCCCCCCACATTAGGGTTTGGAGTTCCAGGAAACGGTAAGAAGCGAATCTGCAGCAACACTGCTCGAGTGTTGGAGGTTGCAGCTAAAGCGAACTCAGAATGAAATTCACCGCCAAGGCAGCAACAACAACAAAATGCACCAACCCATAAAAACCGGAACCGACAAGAGACGACCGAACAGCAAACCGATTCGTCTCGTACCCAGGCCTTGCAATACCCCTTAATTGAGGAAGATATACATTAAGTTATGGCAAGATCCCGGGTACGAGTTGGGATAGGTTCATTCCTGAATTCAAGCCATATTCGAAGTCCCTGGTCCGCTAATCCTACGATTGTAGAGGGCGGCTCGTCCAAAACATAACATTGCCCAGACCTGCTCGCATACTGTACGCAAGTATAAAAGAGTCACTCTAATATCTAAACCCCAAACCCCCAAGCCCTAAACAACTTAAAAAAAAAAAAACTATGCGCAAAACTGAAACCCCCAAACCCTAAACAACTAAGAAAACCCTATACCCTAAACTGAAGAATCCGAGAGAGTCGGCAAACCGGGTAAAAGCTTGAGAAATAGGCTGTAATGAAAGTATTGTAGTCAGGTGGAAGCTGTACTAATCCCTAAGGGTAATAGGCTGTAATGAAAGTATTGTAGTCAGGTGGAAGCTGTACTAATCCCTAAGGGTCCATGCACCCATATAGAGATACATGAGCCCCAAAGTACCTATATACGGACTTGACTACATTAAGGCCAATGTATATGCTATATGAGTACATGGACCCTCAGGGAACCCTAAACCATAAAGCCTAAACCGTGTTTACCGCAACCAGTTCAGGACTCCCCCGGTAGCACAGTTGGAACAAACAGGACTGGACCTCTCGGCTGCATCCTGCAAGTTTCAGGAACATGGGTGGTTGTCAAAATTGGGACCCTTTCTTGGGTACCCTAAATATTAGGTGCCGTATTATAACTGATGTCCGTTATTAATAATAATAATGATATTATTAGGGACCCAAAAAGGGACCCTAATTTTGACAACCACCCACATGTATAATGCGTAAGGCTGTAAACGTTGAGAGTTTGTTGGCGAGGTCACGAAGTGTCAAGTCTGCATGTGCGCGTCCTTCGTGGCACGACCACTCCGACGAAGAATCCCTCAGCCAAAATGCCTGACCCTCAGCATCGCAAACTCTCAGTCCGAAACCCCTACCCTGGGGATCAAAATAGCCCAAAAGCCTTATATAGTATGGTCTTTGGGCCCACAAGCCTTCATGTATGAGTCCTTAGATCCCTAGGGTTAACCAAAACCCACAGCAGCTACGCCCCAGCCCTGGAACCCTGCATCGATCGGTCAAGCCGCATATTGGGATCCAGTGTAAACTCTGCCTGCATATGCAGGGGCGCAAGTACCCCACATTGAGATCTCTAGCCCAGAGCGCCCAATACCCCTTAATTAAGGAATGTGGCTTAAATTATAAGGGGCTTCATATTATGATTTAAGCTATATTCCTTAATTAAGGAGTATCGGGCTCTCTGGGAGATCAGTCTTCAGTCGAGCAGATGGCTTTGGTGTACTGGGTCCGTGGGATTCAAAAGCTCAAGTAATGGGGTGTTTTAGGACATGGCGCGACTGCTTGGGATCCAACTTGGTGGCGAAGTACCTTCCGCACTCAAAGTCCAGTTTTTTTCAAAGGGAGGTCCGCAGCCATTTGTTGTCCACTTCGGCTCTCTCTCTCTCTCTCTCTCTCTCTCGCTCGCTCGCTCGCTCGCTCGCTCGCTCGCTCTCTCTCTCTCTCTCTCTCTCTCTCTCTCTCTCTCTCTCTCTCTCTCTCTCTCTCTCTCTCTCGCTCTGTACTTAACCCACGCTTTCAGAGGTTCCCAAGGGCTCCACAAAGGTCTTATAGAGTTTAGGGCATAAGGTCTCATGGTTCAGGGGTTGAAATTAAACAAAGGATTTGAGCGCTTATTGGTAGAGGCCTTGCCAACTTCAAAGATCATGCACACTTCTTGGAGGCCCTTTTGACTTAGTAAGTAGGGTTAGTAAGGTGGGTTATGGGGATTATAATAGGGTTTCTGGGGGATACTAAGTATAGACTTACTAAGTCAAAAGGGCCTCCAAGTTGTGAATGCGATAAAGACAGTTGCCAGTTGAGGCTCTAACACCTGCGTGCCTACGCACAAGCCGTAACACTGGACTCCCGAAAGGCTAGACCCCTGAACCTAGCAACCAAAAGATTCAGCCCGTACATGGGGAGAACACCTAAACATTGAATCCCAAGCCCGCCTTTTTTAAGCACGGACTAAGCCCCCCAAAACCCTAACCCTAAACCACCAAAGAAGCCTCGGTAGTGGCATTGGAGAACTTGCAGCCAAGACCGATCGACACGTTGTCGAAGAAGGCCTTTCTGTAGGGTTTTTTCAGTTCGGCAGGGTCTACCCCGAGGCTCCATAGTAGTTCGTTTTTGGGATTACCTTATAGGATTCTATATATGAACTCCACAAAGCAACTACTATGGAGCCTTAGGGTAGGGCCATCTCTTCTGGGAGTTTCCGGAAATTTTTGGGCCGTTATGATAAGGATCCTATAATTCAGGGTACTATGTTAGGGTCCCCTGTTTTCGGAAACCCCTATCTATAAACTCTGAACATCGAGACTCTGCGGCCTGAGAAACACATACAAAACTGATATAAGGGCCTTGATAGTTAGAACAGGGTTTTTGCGGCCCATTCGACTATAATTACAGTAAGGAACCCACAAAATAGGGTAGGTAATTATTCAGGCCCGCTATAGTACACCCTGAAGCCTAGAGTAGAAGCCAGAATGTTATGCCCTTAAGGTAAAGTATAAGGGATCCTAGCACCAATCCTCCTCAACTCATGTTCCAACTTTCTGGGGCTCACGTAGAAATACTAAAATTCAGACGGACGGGGCAGGTTTTGAGGAAGCATCCGCTGAAAGTTAACCTTTGGAGTTTAAAAACACTAACCCCTTAAACCACGTTAACCACTTAATTGCTGAGTTTCACAAGCGCCGGCAAGTTGACTATAGGGGACAACGTGTGAAAAACGGTACCCATCCCGCTCCTAAGATCTAAGATGACATCACGACTAGAGCACCCTAAAAATATTGAGGATTTCCTTCTCTTAAGCCCTAACTCCTAAACCCATACTATGAAGGGCCACGAGGACTCTGGGAGTTGCCATGTCTTCCCAGAAGATCGGGCTCAGGGCTGTAGAGTGTAAGGTTGGGTTCTGGAGGTTAAGGGTTTAGGGTTTAAGGTTGGGCTTTGGAGGTTCAGGGTTTAGGGTTTAAGGTTGGAATTGGGAGGTTAAGGGTTTAGGGTTTAAGGTTGGGTTTTGGAGGTTAAGGGTTAGAGTTTGGGGCTAGGGCTTTTCGGGTCCAGTGTTTGAGGGTTTACCTACTTGTCCAGTACCCTGCACGACTAAACGTCAACCCTTGGGAGTATATTGGAGTTATACAGGGATCATAGTACCCCAACAGGGTTAAAGGTTACCTACTCTATTACTAGGTCAAGGTTAGGGTTTGGGGTTGGGGCTCTGGGGGTCTAGAGCTTAGGGCACAGGGTCTCCAGTCTACCTAGGTTTGTTTTTTTTTTTTTTTTTTTCTGGTGCTTTTTTCGCTCGCCTAGATGGGTCGCACTCAACGAGCAACACACTAAAGTACAGGAATAACGGGTTTAGGGGTGCCAGCGCTTAGGGCTCATGAACGGGCACGGCTTGCGAATCTGGTTTGTTTGCCGCTGACTCTCGGCAAAGCCAAGCCATCAGCATGTTAACCAGTGAAGCAAAGCTCCGTGATTTCTGAGGCACGAGGCAACATATCACTCAAAAGCAACATGTCCTTCATACCCCAAACCCTAAACCCCCACCCTATTCCCCACACTCTTGCTAGTCGAGTCACGAACATGGCTAACTGTATATCGCGCAGTAGGCTGCCAGTTCAGCGCATGGCATAGAAGTGCAGCTCCGAACCGCCAAACCCTTTCTGGGTACAACTTTAAGGTTCTATCATGGGGTCTCCCTTGCAAGTCTATGGGGCCGGCCATTTCAGAGGTGGGTTTTTCGACTGTAACTGCATTCTGCATGGTTGGGTGCTATGGCTGCCCGGCCACCTCCATGAGTCAGGCTGTTTGAGGGCCCTGAGCCCTAAACAGACTCTAGGACCTAAGACCAAAGAGACATTATAATCAAGCCCTGGGCCCTACTCTAAATCCTAAAGCTTAATCAAGCTCAAGGCTCTTTTTTTGATAAACAGCATAAGATGAGGCAAGCCGGCTATTCAGGGACATACAGTTGCTGTAAAGCATCAAATGCAAGGTACGTGGTGCAAGGTACTATATTACTATATGCCTACCACAGTGCAAGTCTCCTGCATCGCAGATCCAGTAGGTCCAACAAGACATGCTTAGATAAAACCCTGGCATCAAGTGCAAGCTGCTATAAGCTGCGGCATAACAGTATAGTAACCCTAAACCCTAAGCCCTGGACAGTAGAGCTTCATAGGGCAAGCCACAGACTAGACGCGACAAGTTCGCTGCAAGCTCGACGACCTTATAGCTGACTCAGCTTGCCCAACATTGTTCCGCAGTATAGGGGCCATAATAATTGGAATGGGGTTTTGGTGCCCAGTATACTATAACTATAATAAAGAACCCCCGAAATAGTACTAGTAATTATTTAGGTCCCTATATTAAACCCTAAACCCTAAAGGTCTAAACAAACGCTGGAACCTCGGAATCTTGACCCGTCCCATTCACTTGTCGCCTGTTGCTTGGAGCATCCCGAGCAACCGAAGCCATTAGGAAAACCCCAAACCCTCTAGACCCAAAGCCCCAACTTTCATAGCGTAGATCCTAGACCCTAACCTGCAAATCATGGACACTTAATCCCGAACCCTAAACCTCCAGCCGAATGTACAAAATATACGGGAGTACCTAAAAAAACACCCTAAATAGTAAGATCCTTATAATCAGGATCCCAAAATAAGGTAGCCCTTATTGTCGGGAGCCCCCTTTTCGTGGCCACCGCGGCTTACTTTGGCGCTGAAGGCTCAACCCGTGATTGGAGACCCACGGCCCCCACAGCTCAGTGCTTTGGGGTGAATGACACTACTTGGAGGCCCTTTTGACTTAGTAAGGTTAGGGGTTCCTTTAAAGGGGTCCTAAAAGGGATCTATAGGGGTTCCTTAAAGGAATCTATAGGGTTTAGGGCTTCTTACTTGGAGGCCCTTTTGACTTAGTAAGTAGGGTTAGTAAGGTGGGTTATGGGGATTATAATGGGGTTTCTAGGGGGTACTAAGTAGACTTACTAAGTCAAAAGGGCCTCCAAGTACCAAACCGAAATCCTGCATGTTGAATCTTGAAGACCGAATACAAAGTGAAACAATACCCTAAGCCCTTAAGGCACAATACCCTAAGCCCTTAAGAAGCAATACGCTAAGCCCTTAAGAAACAATACCCTAAGCCCTTAAGAAACAATATCCTAAGCCCCTAAGTTTCATGTCAAACCTCGACTGCGAAGCCAAAGGACCGACACTTCAACTCAGCCTGTAGCCCAAGGAGACGACAAGTGAAAGGATGCCCTCAACCCAGGATGATGGCTAATGTCGGATTAGGGCTTAGGCTTTAGGGTAGGTTTTAGGGTTTAGGGTTTAGGGTTAATGTCGGAACCGGAGAAAAGAAACCCAAGGCCTTTATTTTAGAGTTCGTTTAAAGGTGTCTACAAGGGTTCTTATAAGGAATCTATAATAAGGCTACTGGAATAGTGTAGGAACCGGATTAAGAAACCCTTGGCCTTTAACCCCCAAAATGGTGTGATTCATAGAGGGAACCCTAATAAAGAAAGGACCAAGGTCTCTTAATCAGGTTCCTACATTACTATAATACCCTTATAGACCTTTTGTAGCAACCTTTATAGACCCCTTTAAATGAACCCTAATAAAGGCCGTGAACCTTAAACCCCAAAATTATAGGGTTTCGGGTTCAGGGCCAATCGACGCCTAAACGCTACTATCAAGGACCCGAAAGGCTCCACTGAAGGACGGTTTACAGTACACCCCAGAAAGTTGGAAACCGGATTAAGGCCAAATAGTGCTGGGGAGTCCCTATGCATTACTCTTAAGGATCGAAGCTATTGGGTTTCTAACTTTTGGGCTTCTACTGTAAGGGTTTAGGGTTTAGGATGTCCCCTTCTGACCCCTAAGGTCTAAGCCCCGCCCCCAATTTAGCAAAGACCGCCAACTTTTGGCAGGTTGCCCCCATGAGTCTAGGGGGCGGGCCTCAACAATGAGAATATGGTTTGGGGTAGATTTTACCATAGTTGTACTATCGGGATCATACAGATTAACTATCCTGGCTTGTAGATTATGCTCAGGGTTTAAGGTTGTCTTCAGTTGATATACAGACTAACTCGGCACCGAAGGTGTCAGAATATTGTTGTGATCAGGTGCACAAAAAACCATGCGAATCTTCTCTGTATCGTTCCAACTATATCGGATAATCCTCGAAGGGTTTGCAAAGGCGCTGTATGATGATAGTAGAAACGCCTACATACATGACAGCCCTATATTCACGCACAAATGTTTTTTTCACATTGTTTGCATGCTATTAAACCCCAGTACATATCCCAATGGCCACCTTTAGACCCTAACCCTAAGGGTCCAAGGGCCCGATAGTTGGGTACTTGGGTTTGGGACCCAAGATTCAGGAGAGTATATGATTATTAGGTACTTGGACCCTTACCCTGGGGCTCAAGATAGCCCAAAAGCCAAAAAATATGTATAGAAAGACATATATACAGAAATATGTGATGGTCTTTGGGCCCAAAATCCTTAATATATCAGTCCTTAGAGTCCTAGGGTTAGGGAAACCTCGCAAGCTGCACTCGAACAGAAGCGACTGAGAGCTCAACACCCTTCGGGCACCGCGTGCATCGGAGAGAACTTACCTGATTCGGGGTTTTAGGGTTTCAGGGTTTAAAGGGTTTTAGGGTTCAGGGTTGGGTTTGGGGTTTTAGGGTTCAGGGTTGGGTTTGGGGTTTTAGGGTTCTGATTCGTTCACAAGGGATACCCTAAAGCCATAACCCTCTGCTGCATCCAGGCCTATTGCGACTGCCGGGTACCCTGAAGAAAGGAAACCCTAAACCCTATAAACCCTGAACCCTTACAGTGAACCCCAGAAAGTTGGAACATGGGTTTAGGAGGATTCGTGCTAGGATCCCTTATACTTTACCTTGAGAGCACGAGGAGAATGATGTTTTAACTTTCTGGCAGCTACATGGTGACAGCACCCAAACAGCTGAATATACACTGATCTACCATCTACCTTTCGAAGCAAAACTTGCGATCCCACCACAAAGCTACAACTGCCAAAAACCTTGGTAAAGGATGACGGAACTTCGGTATGAAGGTTGAACAACTAACACCCGGTAGGGCTTTGTGTTGGAGGGCTTAGGGTCTCGAATCTTAGATTTGGGGTTTCAGGCTTCGTGATGCTATTCGGGCTTTGGGGTATTTAAATGATTTGCGAAGATATCTGGAAACCAACTCCCATACTCCCGTCCTCGTTTGGTGCAAGATGTGATTTGCCAAAGCGCCGTTCGTAGCAGAAACCATGGCTTGTCGATTGTATGGTAGCTTATGAGTTTTTTGAGTGGCAGTGAACATACATACAAATGTAAGTTTTTAACAGGTGGATGTACACATAGATATATGTGCATACTGAACCAGGCTCGGATACCTGCACAAGATACATACACATGCGAGCCCAAAGTTGGGCTTAGACGCATGTATGTACACATATAGACATGTACACATGCACACGTGTTTATATACATACATGCATGCATATCTACATACACACGATACCATATATTCATGGTGATATGAATACCATACATACACAGATGCATACATGTACTCACATACGTGAACACATCCATACATACATACCCAGCCAGCCAGCCAGCCAGCCAGCCAGACATCATACGCACATACATACATACATACATACATATTTACATACATATTTACATACATACATACACATACCGTTTCGTGTGTATCTGTATACATATATATATATATATATATACATGTGTATATTTATTTATGTGATATAACATATGTAGGAACGGACTAGGCCACATGATCAGTAAGACTGTTTGGCCAATGCACATCGCGTGGGGCTAAAGCCGTCTCGACATTCTCCTCCATAAGTGCGGTGTAGTCGCCTCAGTGTGCACATTTAGGGGTTTACGGTTAATGTTTATGGTTTAGGGTTGTGGCTGGCATCTGGGAAGCGCTGGCGAAAATGCGAGGGAGCTATTTCCCACATCTACCTAAGTTTTGGGGTAAACGGTTCAGCAGCTTACCCTAAGGCCCTAAGGGTCCAAACTACCCAATGATTAGGTACTTGGTTTGGGGTAGTAGTTATGTAGCTCTATATTTTAGGGGAGTATATGATTATGAGGTACTTGGACCCTTACGATTATCTTCGTCTGCCCAAACCAGAGCTCGATCACCACTACGAAGTTGATCACCACTAGGAAATCGTTGCAATATTCTGCTGTAGCAAGAAGAGAACCCACCACTCCTGATCGGACGATAGCATCGGGGCCTGCATTGCCTACTAACACCCCAAGCCCTCAACGATTATACCAGAACTCGCCACAACGCAGCTCGACTCAAGGGCTTAACCAAAGTCCCTTAAATTGAGTGTTCAGAATTCTTAGGGGCAACATCTTCAGGTTTTCTCTCGAATATCTGGTCTAGTACGTGATCAGGAGCACGTCTTATAACCCTAAGCAGAACTACCTTCATGGCCCGAAGCTGAAGTACCGGACCCCCAAAACAACCTTGCAAGCCGACAGAAAACCTGCAAACACGTAAATCCTACACCCACATCTCTTTTTTTGAGCAGGGACTGCAATGCACCAAGCCCTGAATCCCTTCAGCATCTCTACACCCTAAAATCCTACCCTTTAACCACCGGAGCTCTCGGTTTTGCATCTCTCATCCCTGCCGCTGAAGCTCTTTCGCTCGCGGCTCATCCATAGAAAACACGGTGTTCGGCTGCAAGATTCTAGGGTTCAGTGTTTAGTGACGATGGGTAAGCTTGACCCTGACACTCCACCGCGGTGCTTCTCCTGGTGTGGGTTCTTGTAATTTCTTGTTCGGGTTTTCAGTATCGCCCAACAAGGCAAGTTTGGGGTATTGGTGCTGAGCATGCAGAAGTGCGTCGCCGGCACCATGTCAAGCTGATTGAAAAGGCTACCAAATCGCTCGGGTATGCAAAAAAGGGACCTCAATAATTTCAGCAGTTCATTATTATCTTGGGCCATTATACTATAGTCATAATCAGGAACCCCGAAATAGCATTGGTGGTTGTTTCGGCCCCTATAGTACTGCAGTGGCAAGCCACCGCTTGCAGCGCTGCAACTCAAACCGAGACAACAACACAAGAACCCCTAAACCATAAACCTCATAAGCCCTATAAGCCCTAGCCTAACCCTGTAAAGTGAAATCTTATCAGGAATCGCTGTCGGTCATACGGCAAGCAATCGCTCTCAACCGATCACGAACTCGCAGTTGCTGTTTTGGCTGCAGGACCATTTGGACAAGCCGTTGCACTCCTGGGCCAAAACCCCTAAACTCTAAACCCTATAAACCCTAATTCCCTAAACCCTAAACCCCAAAACCTAAACCAGGTTTGGGCTATGTTGTAGAAGAGCCCATAAAGAAACCCAAAGGACTGGCATTATTCAGGCCTCTAATATCGGGGCTTTCATGATCAGAATAGGCCCATTATACTATAGCTGCAATAAGGAACCCCCTAAATAGTTTAGGTGAGTACAGTATTTAGACCCCTATAGCCTATAGTATATTATGCCGAACTGTCAGCGGGGTTCCAAGGAGCCGATGAGATTGAAAGGCTTTGCTTGGCACTTTCCCCTGTATCCGTATCCACCTTGGGAGCTGTGGGTTTGGGTTTAGGGGTTTAGGGTTTAGGGTCTAGGGTTAGGGGTTTCCGACGCTCACACTCGCACAAGGCAGGCACAGGGTTTAGGGGTTTGGGGGTTTATGGGTTAAGGGTTCTTTTAAGGGCTTCTCTGAGGGCTACTTGAAAGGCTCCTCCAAGGGCGAGCTAAACGGCCCAAGGCTTTGTGAGCTTTATGCGCTGTAGGTTTACGTTTTAGAGCTTCGGTGGTTTTGGATCATTACTTAATCCCACCGGAAACTGAGGAAAGCATGAGAAGGGTCTATGAGGATAATTATACGGGTTTGTGGAAAAGTTTAAGGATGCGGTGTATATGCCAGGATTTATGCAAGCCTTTATATGACACAGGGTATATATAAGGGTTTACAAAGAAGCGTTCAAATGCGGTTTCTGGGTGCGCGTATACAAGGGTTTACGGTCGAGGGGTTGCGTGGATGGGTGTGGATGGATGAACGGATGCACGGATGCACGGATGCGCGGATGGACGGAGGGACGGACGGACCGACGGATGGATGCATGATGCATGGATGAGTTGACGGGTGGATGAATGGATGTAGAAGCACGCAACCGGAACAATGGATGGATGGATGGATGGACGGATGGGTGCATGGGATGGGACGGGATGATGTTTGGTGCCACCTCGCTGCTCCAAGCGATTTCGGGACACTCGCTCTCTAGGCTTACCTGGACCCTTCAAAACCTACCTTTTTAGGCAGAGTTCCTTCCCCTGAATTCCTTCTAGCAGATAAAAATGGTAGGCTCTTTGGGATCAAGGCAAGGCGTAGTGTTTACCATCTTGAGCCTCACGTTTTACATGGCATGGCGTTGCCTCCACCTCCGGCGCCGCCGGAACCGGGCTGGCTGCCCTGCATCCAGTCGCAGTTGCTGTTGTGAAGGCAAGAATAGGCGGACAAGCCGTTGCATTCCTGGGAAGAGCGGACCCGCTCGGGCTTTAGGGGTTGTGGTTTAGGGTCTAGGGTCCCTGAAACGGTTAACTCATGGTTTCAAAATCGGGCCGACAGGACTGATAGCGCAAGCACGGTTCTGCGCGGCGGTTCTGCCGCAGGTGTCGGTAAATGAAACAGTAAGACGAGGCACCACCATCCCAATTAAGTTCAAAGGCTTTCCTCGGCAAATCCCGCCGGAATCGCTGGTCGACGGCATGTTGCTCTTCTTGCCACTTTCCTCCGTCAACGCATGTCCTTCTGGAAACCCCGTTCGCAAACACTAAACTCTATAGAATGATCCTAAAACGCTGAACACCAAACTCTTGAACAAATCCCGGTATAGGAAACCCATGTAGGCAACAGTCTCAGGAACCCGATCTAACACCCAACCCTAAACACCATACTTATAAGCCATGAACTCAAGGCTTGTCCTTCTGGGGTCCGTGAGGCGACCTGGGTCGAGAACCGTAACACAAGAGGTCCGTGTACCCTTTCAAAAACTGTTTCTGGTATTCCTGGAAGTTTTACAGGGCTGCAAGTTGTTGAAGAGGGCGTTCTAGTGTGTTGTAAAGGCTTTTAGTCAGGATCGGGGGGTGGGGCCCTCGTAGTCAATGCTGACATCCTTGTGTTCAAGCACCCTTTGCCAGGACCCCTAATTCGGAGAAACCCGTATCAAAAATTAGAACCCATGTACGACTCCCGTGTGACACCCTATGAAGCCCTGATGAACTAAGATACCTCAAAGTTGTCAAGCTAAAAACCCGACCTGGAGCAGCTTGACCGCACAGTCAGGAGTGTCGCAAACATCTTGATCTAGACTTTGAGAAATCCTGGGAAAGGCTTCGTTAATTTACACTGCTCAGCTGTCAAAGAGTTCAGGGTTTATAGAGCCTCGGACTCAAAAAGCATTTAGGTCGCAGAGTCGGAAAGGTTGTTGGGCATGTGGTGGTTTGGCTACTTGAAAGCGCGTATGAACTGGACATCTTGCGAACCTTCCAACGCAAAAAACAAATAGAAACTGCCCCGATGACTACAATTGCAGTCTGGACTCTCGTCTGCATACGTCCGGCAAACAAGAAGCCACAACACAGAGATCACGGCGCGAGCTGCCGCCATTTTATAGATGGAATGAGTCTTTTGCTCACTGGCTTGTGCCCACGCTCAGCTCCGGCGACTAAACGATGCAGTCAGCCCAGTGTACGACAACTGACATGGAAGCAGACTTGCGACCAACGACATTCATGGTTTCTGGCTTCCTTGAAAGTTCGTGAACATTTTTGAATAGGGAATACATATTCGCCACAGTCAAGCACTTCCTTCCTCGCTTGGGCTTCCCATTAACATCTACAAAAGAAGTCGGTTCAGGGTTTAAGGAAGTTTACCTGTATCGCTCCCTGGGAGTTTAGGGGGTGGGTCTAGGGTTTACACTCTCACAACTCGGTCAGGCCAGGCGAGGTCTCACCGCACGTTTGCCGGTTGGAACAGGAGTGTGCTCTCGTCTTCTCGGACTCCACACAAGAAATGTTCAGGGTTACAGTAGAAGCCAGAAAGTTGGAATATCATTATCGTAACCCCTTTAAGGTAAATTATAGGGGATCCTACCATTAATCCATATTCCAACTTTCTGGAGTTCCCTGTAAGGGTACGGGTTGGGAGCCCGAGTTTCACCTAACCCTACGTCTACACACCCCTATACCGCGACCTGGGGCTCACAACTTGAAGTGTGCTATAGTATACATACATGCCTGCATGAATGTATGAATGCATACATACGTAGATATAGCTCGAAGGAAGTATTAAGTATAGATGTACATACATACATATGTAGATGCACAAATGTATATATATATATACACATACATATGTGTGTATACATATGTATATGTATATATGTAAAAATGTCTACATATGTGTGGATATGATATGTTTGTTTGCACATTATGTAGAGGCTGTCTAGATTCGGGGTTTAGCAAAGAAGAGAAGCAGGCGAGAGCGAAAGCCGAAACCTGTAGACATCGCTGTAGTTCGCATTTTGCACTGTTTGGAATTTACTAGACCCAAGAGTAGCCTAGGAATAAAAAGGGTACCCTTTTTGGGTTAAAGGGGGGTATAAGGGAACCTAAACCCTAAACAAAAATGGAATCAGGGCCTACTCTGGGTCCTAGTTTGGGGCTTGCCCAGACGATCTTCTACCGAGACGTATCATGGCCTAGCTGATCGACCATACTTGGAGGATCATGGGACTTAGGAAGTAAGGTTATTGAAGCACTTGTAACCTTATGTACTAAGTCCCGTGATCCTCCAAGTAAACCCGTGACTTTGGGTCCTTTACAGCCCGAGCCCTCTGAAGCACGTACCCATTTCATCCAGAACCAAGAGGCCTTGCAAGGACCCCTCGCAGGAACCTCAGTTAAAGGAACCCTATAACGAGGTCTAGGATCTTGGCGTGAGACTTCACAGGCAAGGCACAGATTTTTTGGTGCCTGAACCGGGACTGAGCTGCATACAGTTAGGTTCAAGGCTTGAAGCTCAAAAAGAGAACCCAAGAAACTGGAGGAGCACTATTGTACTCGCCTTAGGAAATACCGCAGGCCTGAGGGGTTACGGTTAGGGGTTGGTTCTTGCAAAGGAATGACAGGTAGAGACCGCAGAAATAGGGCCTCTTAATGTGTAAGGGGCATGTCGTGATGGAGGGTTCAAGGCAAAATGCCTGAAATCCGCCTTAGGTGGGTTCCGAAGTGTTGGCAGCTGTCAGCAAGATGTTATTCAGGGAGTATACTTCCCGAAACAGGACAAGCTCGACAACTTCCTAAACACGCACGCATGCAGAAATCCCTAAACCCTAATCCCTAGTAAAGCCACGACCCAAACCCAGAAAGCCCACCAGAAGGGTCCAAGTACCTAACAATCATATTCTCTCCTAAACATTGAGCTACATAACTACTATCCTAAACCCAAGTTCCTAGTGATTGGGTCCTTTGGACCCTTAGCGCCACTCCAAAGCCAATTGCTCCTTCCCAAGACCCGGGCATGCTATGAACACATCTGACTTGGTGTTTTGGCGTTAACTAGGATGCCCAGTTAACTAGGAATAAAAAGGGTTCCCTTTTTGGTATTGGATAACTTTATAAAGAACCTAGGACTACAAAAAGGGAAAAAGGGTCCACCCGGAGGCCTACTTGGAGGCCCTTTTGACTTAGTAAGTAGGGTTAGTAAGGGTTATGGGGATTATAATGGGGTTTCTAGGGGATACTAAGTAGACCTACTAAATCAAAAGGGCCCCCAAGTACAGCTCCAAAGAGCCAGAGGGGCCATGCCTTCCTTGGGTTCCCTTCTCCTAACGGATCGCCTCCCAGTCTGCGGCACTTGTACTTGTTTGGGTTTATTACTTGAGGTTCCACAAGGGTTTTAGAAGGGTTTACGGTTTAGGGTTGAGACGGGAGGCCGCTTGAAAAACTGAGGGGGGCTACCCTAAATACTAAACCCTAGCCCTGTACACTGTGAAACTTGTTCCACTCCCAAGTCTGCCAAACAGCGCGCCACTGTCATGGCACGTGAGATGGCGTGCCAGAACGGTGTGGAACCTTCAAACTTTGCACGCAACAAGGAGTACTTCTCACTTCTAAGCATCCTCTAGGCCCATTGTGGTTCTAGACCCAAGAGTAAGCTAGGAATAAAAAGGGTGCCCTTTTTGGTTTAAAGGGGCTTATAAGGGAACCTAAACCCTCAAAAAAGGGAATAAGGGCCTACTCTGGGTCCTAGTTGAGGCAGATTCCACATTTATTTGGTATTGGGCTTTGGGAACTTGAGCCAGCAAGAAACAGAACGTGTAAGGCCTTTATGGGAAGCTCTAAGAAACCAATCTGGTGCAGCCAAGTTTGTACAACCAACTATGCTTGAATTGCATAGGGCCTACCTGCACCCTGTAATTCCCATGTATAATGCCGAAAACAGTAGGTTGCTTCATGGTGTTTTTAGCGTCCAGGTGGCTATCGTGGCCATGACCCCTAAACCCTAAACCCTAAACATCCATGAACACGTACTTAGAGATCCTAAGTGCCCGTGTAGGGTTTCTATATTAGGAATCCCAAAGGTCCAAAGCACCTGTATAGTAGAATGTAGGGTTTCTATGGTTACGAATTACTATTATGATCTGGGGAAGTATCCCCCATAACAGTACCTAGGACCCTTTGGGAATTACTTGCCATTATGATGTGAGGAAGTATTCCCTATAACAGCACCTCGGACCCTTTAAGTTAAGCAGTACCACTCAGTGGCTCAGTACATGAAGAACACGCAGTACACGTTCACCAATGGCGCCAGGAGGAGGGCGCCGAGCACCAACTTCGGCATAAAGTCGCAGCACCTGGTCGGTCTTAGGGTTCAGCGGTTTAGGGCTCCGTGCTTAGGGGTTTAAGGGTTTAGCGGTTTAGGGCTCAGTGTTTATGGGTTTAGGGTTTAGGGGCGAAGGGGTTGAGAAACTAGAACGAAATCCATGAGACTGTGTAGGCCGTCAGGGGTTGAGGTCTTATTTCCTCGAAGACTGCGTCATAACTAAGATGTACTTTACTTGACCTGCCCACGACGAGATGTAGAATAGTGTACACCCAGAACTAGATGATTCCTACACTAAACTGCACCAATTTCTGACTGGAAAAAATGAACCGAGTTATAAGCACTCCGAAACCCACGCCGCCAAACCCTCCAGAACCTAAACCCTCAACCCTAAACCTTACACCTCTAAACCAGCAACCTAAACCCCAACATGTGCAACATGGCCTAAGCCCGATTTTATTATAGATCCCTTATAGGTCCCTTTAAGAATCCTTTTAAAGGAACTGCCCCTAAACCCTACACCCTAAGATGGAACCAATGGAACCCTATTACAGGGCCCTTATACAACCCTTTAAGGATCCCTTAAAGGAACCCTATTCTAAATAGAAACCCTAAACCGTGAAACTGGCAACCCCTAAACCCTTAAACCCTTTTGCAACTGGCCTAACCCTTAAACCCTAAACCCTGAAACCCTTGATCCCTAAACCCACAACCTAAACCCCAACGCTTTTATAAAAGGAACCCTATAACCTAAGCCTTAAGCCCCACCATCTGCCCCTAAGCCTTTATAGAGCCCTTCCAGAACCCTTTTGGGATGCCTTTGAAGGAACCTAAACCCTACCATCTGCAACAAAGCCCCTACCAGTACAAACCCTATTGTGCTATAGATCCCCTGTAGAACCCTTTAAACCACTCCTAAAGGAACCCTATTTAAGCCCTACCATCTGCAACATAGCTCGTATAGAACCCTTTAAGGATCCCTTTAAAGGAACCTAAGCCCTACCATCTGCAACATAGCCCGTATAGAACCCTTTAAGGATCTTTTTGAAGGAACCTAAGCCCTACCATCTGCAACATAGCCCTTATAGAACCCTTTAAGGATCCCTTTAAAGGAACCTAAGCCCTACATCTGCAACATAGCCCTTATAGAACCCTTTAAGGATCCCTTTTAAGGAACCTAAGCCCTAGCATCTGCAACGCAAGCCGCGGGATCTCCCCGTACTTCGCCCAGCTCCCAGCAACGAAGGCCGCAAGCGCAGCGACGCAGGGGAAGGTCAGGATGCTAAGCCTCGGCTTAGGGTTTTAGAGCGTTTATTAAAGGCATCCATGAGGGTTCCTTTAATAATCTAAAGGGCTTTAGGGTTTAGGGTTTAAAGTTTTCGGGCTTGAGAGCTTTAGGGTTTAGGGCTTCAGGGTTTTAGGATTTATAGGGCTTTAGGGCGGGTTTAGGATTTAGTGTTTTTCGCTTCCTACTTAGCAAGGACGAGGCCGGCATTGCAGGGTTGTCTGATTTAGGGTTCCAGGGCTGAGTGTCACAGGGGGGCTTACCTTAACCCTGAACAACCTACCTTTTTACTGCTCCTTACTATGCCATGCTTTCCTTATATATGTCCTTAAACAGGTAGGTTATTCGGGATTACGATACTGACTAAACAGGCACTATATCAGACCCAAGAGGCACTCCGATGTAGACCCGTGGATCGTTGACCTGGGACTTGTGCGCAGTAATGTAGGAACCTGCTTAAGAAACCTTGGGCCTTTATTAGGGTTCTGCACACGAA